TCGTCCAAGGCCTCTAAGGAGGGAGTCCATGGGCTGCTTAGGGCCTAAGCAGTCAACTTAGGGTTTCCCTTTTAGATAACCCTAATAGCCTTACTATTTAAGGACCCCTAGGGCACCAAAAACATGGCTAACTGATTTCCTTAGGGTTTCTAGACGTTTTGGGTGCCTCTCCTCTTCTCCCTCTTCATCTTATTTCTTATGGTGTTTGTGACTCCATTAGAGGTGCAACACTTGAGGCACTAAGATTTCAGAAGCCAATTACAAGAAGGAATAGATTGTTATTGCTACATAACAATCCAAGGTAATATCTAAACCCTAATTTCGTTCATAGTGTGCTAGATCTAGGGTTTGAGAGCTTTGGATGATTATTGCATGTACAATTAGATAAACCTAGATCCAAAGTTTAGGGTTTTGCATGTGCACCATAGGATTGATGTAGTGCTCATAACCCATCAAGATGTCTGCGTGACTCTTGCATGTGTATGCGTTGGTATGAATACTGAGCGGGCTCAATGTTGGGCGAGGCCTGATGACTGTATCGTATGCTATTATCTTTGTGATTATCGCAAATGTTAGTGTGATTATATGTTTATATGTCTGTATGTGTATCGGGCAGGGCCCGATGTCAGGCGGGGTCTGATGATTGATAGATCTGTAAACAGAGCGGAGCTCGATGCCGGGTGGGGGGGGGGGGATTAAGGGTGGGGGACCAATATGTGTTTATTATGTATGGTATGTGGTATTTTGGGGAACTTACTAAGCTTTGAGCTTACAATTTTCAGTTTATGTTTTTGGGTACTTCTGGTTCGAAATGGAAGAGATCGGGATGATTGTAGAGCACACACCACCTTATTCCCTATTTTATGACTTACTCTGATATTTTATGATGTATTGATACATTTTGTTCCACTTTGGTTTTGTGATGATGTTTTGGATTATATTTTTATTAATTTAAAAATGAATTTTTTAGTCTTAATTTTTGGGATGTTACATTTGCAGTCACTCCAACTTCAAGAATCATGAGGTTTAAGGGATAAAAACTCAAGAAAAACCTATATCTATACAAAAGAAACATAAAGATAGAAGCTTTATACTTACAAAAGGTCCAAAAGAAAGCTAGCTCTCTAGATCTCCAAGGAATCACACACCAAACATCACTTTTAGTTTCCTCCTTCTTTGGTCTTCACCAAAAAGGACACCAATGGGGGGCTGAGCGAATCAATAAACCCTAGAAGTTAGTACATTTATATATGGCTAAAGCCCGAGATTTAGGGTTTTGTGTTAAGCCACCACAGCGTCGCGGACCAGCTTCTAATTGCATCGCAACCAAGCAAAAACCCCAAACTCTCAAAATTAAATAAAATAACCTTAAAGTAATACATACTAGAATCCGTATGTTACAATTTTTTTTTCAAAAACTTCATTTATATGAAGTTTGAGTTGGTTAATTAATGTGAAAATTTGAGTTTTAGGGCGTTTTTGGGATTTCTTCTCCAAGTGCTTATTGGCTTTTTGGAAAAGCTAATAATTCTTGGCTTTTTGGAATAGCCTTTTTTCCTATAAAGTTAGAGGTTGTTTGTTTTAAAAAAAACCCCTTCAAACCACTTTTCATTGTGCGACGCAGAACACGCGCAACAGTTGGACTTTTACAACAGTTTGTTTTTTAGAAGCCTTCTAAGGGAAAAAGCTTTGCATGTGTGCTTCTTGGTGCAACAATGGACCAACCACTTCAAAACTCTTCTAACCCTAATAAAAAACTGACTCAAAAAAGAAAAAAATCCTTCTCCATCTTCTTCCTTCGCACCATCCTTCTTCCTTCCGCACTTCCAATCGCCGGCCTCAACCCTTTGCCGATGCACCATTGCAAGGCCCATTCCTCATCGGCGCACCACTGATGCTTATCAGATCGTCGACATCGTTGACATCTATAACAAAATCGATTTCTTGCTATGTTGATTTCTACTATGACTGGAGCTTTTGTTCACTTCGACACTCCTATTCACATCGACATTCACATCAGGTACCCTTCTCGATTTTTCCTTGATTTCTAATGTAATGCTCCTAATTTTTTAAATCGATTTTTGATTTTTGATTTGCTGAAATTGGTTTTTATTTTTGATTTTCTATAATCGATTTAATGCTCCCGATTTCTAAAATTGATTTGCTAAAATGGTTTTTATGATTTGCTGAAATATATAGACTTGCTCAAAATTGATTTTTTGATTTGATGAATGTCAAGGAGAAATTTGATTTGTGTTATACTAATATGCTTCCACCCATGTATATATTTCCTTTCTTTGTTGAACTGGATGTCAAAAGAGTGGGATAGATCTTTATACATCTAATGGTAGCAATTTAAGAGGGAAACAAGTTGTGCATTACAGGTGCTCGATGAAATGCTTGAGAGAATATTGAAGTTTAATTTAATTGCATTTTATTTGGTCTTACCTGGTACATCTCTAGTAACAAATGCAAACGATCAAATTATGAAATGGTCTTTGCTTGTGCCTGTTACAAAGTTATTGCCACATCTCTATAATTTCTTTATAAAAATGTAAAAATATGATGTATTTATGTTTATAATCAGAAGTATGTTGGTAAAATGTGATGCATTTATGCTCTTTGAAATTACATAGGTGAAGCAAAGGCAAATAAGAGCCATGAGAATATTGTTCTAAGTGTTGACTCAAGATTTTGTGAAGGAACTCCAAATCAAGAGCAATTTGAAACAACTCACAAAAATATTATTTAGCTAAAACAATATAATTTTAATGTTAATTCATTTAATTTGTAAATGGTACTATTTAATTGTATTGAATGTTTTTATACTAAACCAGGCGAATAGCCGCGCGTTGCGCAATGTAAAATCACGTACTTAAATTTTTGACAAATAAATATTAAAAATAATATATGTTACTGATATTTATATCATAACACCTTTCATATTTTAACCTAATATTACATGTTATTCAAAATACAACGTTTTCATTTCTAGAAATATACCAATGTTTGTTTTTTGTATTTGATGAGTTATTTTCTATCAAAACCAAAACATCCAATAAATACTACGAAACTTATGTTTGTTTATCACCACACACCTCTACTACTCTGCTTCAAACCATATTACGCAACTGCAAATGCATAAAGTGACATTTATATCCATTAATATCTGCTAAGTAAATAATGTGATGTACTTATTATTTGTTAAATGCATATCGATGCATCATATTATTTCATATTCCAACATCGGCAAACTAAAACCATATAGGCATAGTCTGGATACCAACATCTAATTTTTATTAGAGACTAATACAAACACCCGTACCACAAAAATGCTTGTTTGAGACTAAATGTATATATACAATAAAATGAAAGCTAACATTATTATCTTCTCATGACTTGAAAATGAGCATGACAAATCATTGGTATCGGTTGTACCGGTACAACATTAAAATATACATAATATGCCTTTAGTTCACATGTGATATTTTATAGGATTAAATATGAAATCATGACTTTAATAGAAACTAAGACCAATTGACATGTAAAACAATTTATATCTAGCAATACATTTGCTAATATGACTTCAAATTTTCCGATATCTTCTAGGGTTCAATAAATCCACCTTGTGATGCCAATGATGAATATTTCACAATTTCCATCTTTGTTTTTTATATTCTTAAGTATTAAACTGGTTTTAACAAAAAATCTTAAGAAAAATAAAAGTTCTTACACGCATGGATACATATGGAAGTGTCAAATATTGAAGGTAGATATAATTTCCATTGTTGAAGGAACGATGATAAAAACTGAATATATTCAAAGAATTTAAAATGATCAGCAAGATTTGTTTGTGTATGCATGGACAAATATTAATTTAGTACATGTAGCGCATGGAATTAGATGCATCTTTAAGCAAAAGTTTCTACCACGAATATAACATGTGACATACCGGAAGCAACCACATATTGAACAGTTGGTAAAAAAAAAATTATTGAAATTTATATGAAAAACAATACACACATAAAAGTCTTTTTCCTTCTTTAAAGGTTCTTAATCCTTTCAAAATATGACAAAGATGTTCCTATTATTCACAATATTTATACTTGGTCTTGTTCTATTTGACGTTATTCATGTTATTTTTACATTGAAGAGCCAATTAATAATCATTATTAAAAAGTCTTTTGAGTGGTATTAGTCAAATTAGGGGTTTCAAATGCATAAGAATCAAAGAAATTAAATTAAGGAGTTTTAAATGCATAAGAATCAAGGAAAAATACTTCATTTATAAGATACTAGTTTATAACCCGTGGAAACTACGGTTATAAAATTAATTAAAATTTTATAGTAAAAACTCAAAATTATTAATTAATTATTTTAAATAAATTATTAATTACGAAATATTTTTATTAGTTATGTGAAATTATAACCGTTAATTCAAATAAATATGTAAAACTAATTTTTAATATATATTAAACATTTTTATTTGTGAATTAATGAAAACATTAACATAAAATTTAAAACTTAAAATGGAGAATAAATACATTGACCAATAATATCACATTAATTAGGAAGTCTAATAAATTTAAAATGAAAAAATTAATGGATTGACAAGTGATATCATATTAATTAAGAGGTCTAATATGATGATACATGTCAAAATAACTACTCTTTTATTAATATAGGGAGATATAGATATAAATATAAATGTAATGAATTTTATTTCAATATTGTAAGAATGAAATTATTAAAATTTTGGTGTTGAAAAACTATTTTAATTTTGTAAAATTAGTTTATTTTAATTTTGTAAATTTATTTTAATTTAAAATACAAACAAATTTTTTATTACAGACTGCAATCATTTGATCCAACTGTTCTAATGGAAAAGGTTCACAAATGGTCCACATATTTCATAAATTTTCATTTCAAAAAATAAACAACACACGCCAAATACCTTTTTAACCAATAAACTAATAAATCATTTTAAAAAAACATTCATACTTAAAAGTTGTGTAAAAAAAAGAAAGAAATTAGTAACGAGTATATGAAGCTTCTTGGTCGATGGATAAGTTATGAAAGACAGTGCCCTAACTCCGACAGAGGCTACGATTTGCTGAAAAGATCATAAACAACAACAACAATAACGAACGAGCTCACAACGACGATAACAGTAGGACAACAGGTATGAGGAGAGCATATACAAGCTATTTGGGTTTGCTCCTTATTTCGATATTAGCAGGCACCTGTTTGTGAAAATGCCTCGGAGAGATAACGTGATATTATTTTCTATCTATTTCTATTCAGGTGAACTGAGTTTTTAATACCTACTTCGCTGCTAATTATCGTTCTTTTGAGTTGCAAGAAAGGGGCGTTTAGTAGATATGAGTTGGTCCTGTAGTAACTATCTTTGCTTGTCGAGCTCAACCTCTAGCTCTGTCGTCACTTCCACCGAACTTACCAGGTTTTCCAGATGCAAGCTGTCTTGTGAGGTGAGATTAATGTACTCTTTACGTTTCTTCTACTTCTATATATAAGTGAAGGGTTAACGTCTTTGGAATCCGTAATTATCTTAATACATCATCTTCGTCTCCTGAAGCTTTTAAAAACATGTATCTGATCCAAATTGAGTTGTTTATATGGGTTTCATGATTTTCTTCTATACTCCCTCTGTTCGACAGACGTTATGCTTTTATCTTCAAACAATCAAAAGGATCGCACATTCTGAAAGCTTTGTAAATCGTATTTTGTCCAACTTTTGAAGTAAATTATCCATAGAAAAAACCTGTCTAATAACTTTTTTAATTCTTCCTTTTCATGGCAGTATGAAGAACAAAGAAGGAAACATCATGACCTAAAGAGACCAGTAAACATTTTTGCTTACAACGGCTTGAAATCTCCATCTTATAAACTCGTAAGTTGCTTAATTTTATGTATTACTCTAAATATATCTCCATCTGGTTATCCTGTTCATCTTTACTGGATTCATTCAGGACAAACTCCCAAAAAGGAAAGATCATGTCTTAAAGAAGCCAAAAAACATATCTGCTTACTACAGCTTGAAACCTCCATCTTATAAATTGGTAATTCTCTTTGTCATCTTTTCTCTTTCCCCTCTGTTATCTTTCCTGTTTGTTCCCCATTGATTTCGTGTTCTACTTTTTGCAGGATGCTCTAGAGCCATATATGAGCAAGAGGACCCTTGAGGTGCATTGGGGAAAGCATCACCGTGGTTATGTGGAGATTTTGAACAAGTATCTATCCAAGAACGATGTATTGTATGGATACACAATGGACGAATTGATCAGAGTGACATATAACAGTGGAAATCCATTGCCAGAATTCAATGTTGCTGCTCAGGTTTGAACAACAACTCATGAGCTGTATTCCTGTTTTGGAAAATGTTTGGAATCATGATTTCTTGTGGGATTTTGTAGGTCTGGAATCATGATTTCTTCTGGGAATCCATGCAACCAGGAGGTGGAAACTTACCAATATTGGGTCTAATGGAGCAGATTGAAAAGGATTTTGGTTCCTTTGCAGAGTTCAGACAAGAGTTTATAGAAAGTGCCCTGACATTATTTGGGTCTGGATGGGTTTGGCTTGTTTGTATGTTTCTTGCCATTTTAAATTGGTTTCTTGTTTAGTTGAATAAGTTAGCATTGTATTTTTATAATAAGTTTATAGTTGCATCCAGTTTTGATTTGTATTGTTGTGGGGTCCCAATTTCAGTAAAGAGGAATGAGCAACGACTTGCAATAGCTACAACAACAAATGCTGTAACCCCTCTTGTGTGGGATGATATTGTAAGCATGTTTTTACTGTTTAACTTTTTTTTTTTTTTTTTTTTTTTTCTTTTTCTCTTTATACTAATGGATTAATCTCTTGTACTTGCACAGCCTCTACTTAGTTTGGATATGTGGGAGGTAAGAACAACTCTCTCTCTCTCTCTCTCTCTCACACACACACACACAGACACATTTTTTTCACACATACATGACTGTTAATAAAGTTCCACTTGTCCCAATAACTGCAATATTTAATTGTACATGTAATTCAATGAAAACATTACCAAGTAGTGACATATCTAAAATATACCACAAAGATGAGAAAATAGAGGAATTTTGTATGGTATGTTCAATGTTGTAGTATTCATTCTAATTTTTGTTTCTTCTGTTTTGCAGCATGCTTATTATCTGGATTACAAGGTACATACATATTCATTTCAAACATCCTTTTTATCTCCCGTTTAACTCGGTCATTTATATCCGATTTTTTTTTTTTTTTTTTTTTTTTGGTGAGTTAACAGAATGACAGAGCCCGGTATGCTAATGTCTTCATGGACCATCTTGTGTCATGGAACGCGGTATTGGGCCGTATGGCTCGTGCCCAGGCCTTTGTGAATTTAGGAGAACCCAAGATTCCTGTTGCCTAACATCTCTCTTCTCTCCCTATCTCTTTTAGGTAGCAAGTTTTGCTAGTATTAATGTAACTTCTATTTTTGCAAAATGCTTGGTGAGTATTTTAGTTTTTGAGGCAGTAAGTGGTAAATGCAGACGTGGATTTTAGGCATGAATGATTGCAAACATGGCGTTGTATATGATTGAAATTGTAGTAAAAAAATCCTTGCAAGAACCGAAAATAGCAATGAAGGTATGACGTGAATCAAGTTAAATCAGAGACAATGTAGGGAAAAGAACAATTTGAGAAAACAAATGTTAATCATCTTGAAGATTAGTATGGTTTGGGGCAAAATACATGTTTTGATATGTATTAAAAAAATGTTCAATATAATTTGATACATACACTTCCTCAAGTCCTTATCGGATTACACATCACCAATTTCTCCATAGGGTTTTAAGTGTCGCGTTTTAGAATCGGATATCAACCTTGATTTCAGTTTTCAAACCTTAAATATGATATGATGTGTTTTCCTTTACAAATGCAAAACTACCCTCATGTCATGATAATTTGTGATCATCTTAGAGCATACATACTTTCTTTCAATTCTATTCAAATGGAATGGGCGCTCCCTCTCCATGTCATCATAGTTCTTGCTAGTGTAGCAAGTCGAATTGCAATGCCTTCAGACGCAAATAGGTCCCACTCATAATATGGTATCATCTTATTATGGTATTAAGTTGTTTATATTTATTTATTTTTTGAGTGTTAAGTGTCATATATATGGTTATTTTGCATTTGGAATTTTATGTAATTTATTGCTTTTTCATTTTCCTTAGGCGATGATGCTCCCCCTACCCCACCACCGTTTGCAAACAAAAAATCACTCTCGCCCTCTTTCTGGATCACCATCTTCGGCAACCTCTCTTTCTCTTCTCATGCAACCGACGATTCATTCATCTTTTTTTTTTCTACTGCCTGACAATGTTAATCACTTTCTCCTTTCTCCTTCCCAATCACCATCTTCGACAACCACTCTAAAGGTGGGGGTTGGTGGGTTTATTTATTTAATAAGAAAATAAATATAAAGGAAGACATGGCAAAAAAAAAAAAAAAAAAAGACAAAAATAGTAATTTCATCATTTAACATAGCAATATAGCATATGGACGGTGAAGACCGAATGGACAAACACTCATGGCTTTTGAAACCATAAGAACTATTGACATTAATTTCTCAAAATTAATACTAAAACAGTAAAATTGTATAAATATGCAAACTACATTAAATAAATGTTGTAGCTGAACTAATGTCAAATAAGATAAAATTGCTTTTTTGGTTTTTGTGGCTGTATGTGCTTTTTGAATAGAGTCCATTCTTTTTTTTTTTAAACTCTCGTTGGCTACATAAAAAAAATTTTATAACAACTTTTCGTCCCTTTGGTGGACGTCATTAGAAAGAGATAGTTTGATCATCTCCAACGGACCACTAAAATAGTGTGATGCCTGCCAAAATAACTCCAACTGCCCACCAAATGAAACCGCATTCTTGTGGCCAATGTTTTAAAACCCGGGTCGACTCGGCCGGTTGAACCGGTTGGACCGTGACCCGGTGTAAAAAGCGGGTCAATTGATACCGGTTTTTTGTAAAAATACGAACCGGATCGAACCGGCCGGGTTTCCCCTAAACCGCGGTTCGACCGCTTATGTCGAACCGGTTAAAACCGGATTGACCCGTTTTAATAGGGTTTGGATAGTTTGATACAAGTATCGAACGTCAAAACAACGAGCCGTTTGCGGTTTCTTTAATGTTTTTCAATGTTTAAACTTTGTGTATATCAAATTATTGATTTTATATGTTTATGGATTATGCATGCAAGTAAAAATATATAAAAATAGTAAAAGGTTGAACCGGTTGACCCGTGAACCGGTCATCACACCGGGTCAACTAAAAACCCGGGTTTTAAAACATTGCTTGTGGCACCATTTTAATGTTTTAGTATGTATTGTGGTTGGATTTGTTCTTTATCGTATATAAAATAATAAATTTGCCCTTACTTTATACTTATACCTAAAGTAACGACAAAAATGGTCCGTATGAATATGATACACTGATAATTACAAGTTTAGTCTAAAACTGTGTTTGACGCGTGACAGCTAGCTGAAAAACTAGCTTATTTTTCGAGTTTTTTTAAGTTGTTATGTTTGGCAAACCAAAAGGTAGCTTATAAACTAACTTTTTAAAAAGTTACTTAGACTAGTTTTTTAGAAGTTTTTTTTAAAATTTTCAAATATACCCCTTAATTAATTATAAAAAAACATATTCTTTTAAATATCATTTTATATTTTTCAGCTAGTTTCACCAAACGTCATTTTTTATCAGCTAGTTTTTTATTTAACAAATAGTTTTTCAACTAACAACTAGCTTTTCTGCTAGTACACCAAACATAGCCTAAGAGCATCTCCAACCCACTCCCATTCTCCATAATTTCTTCCATTTCTTCTCCCATTCCTCTTCAACCCTACCCCATTTTGGGGGAAATGAATAGTATAACACCATATTTGGTGTTATATTATTCATTTCCCCCAAAATGGGGATGAACTTTGAGTTGTCGGTTTTAGTCCCTCGTTTTATATATTTATATATTTCTGATTTTTTACCTACTAATTATTATTTAAATATAATATTTAATACTTATAATATTGTGTTATATATTAAAGTATATTAATTAATTATAAATATAATTTTTCTTTTTGTTTATCAAATTCATATTAAAATTTAAATACATATTGAAAATTTTAAAACACAATTACGTATTTTACGAAAGCTTATAATTACGTATTATAAATATAATATTATTTACATAATATTATTGTCATGAAAAAAATATAGACTATATATTTGTTAAAACCAAATTAATAGAAGGAGTGTATTTGATAATTTATATAAGTTAAAAGAAAGGATTATAGTTTTTGGGGTAAAAATGGGATAAAAAATAAAGTAGGGTTGGAGATGAAACACTATTTACCTCATTTTTTACTCTATTTTTTGGGGAAAAAAATAGAAATAGGTTGGAAATGATCTAAATAGATATTAGAGGATACGGTATCAACGAGAATTAGTATTTTTGCTGATGTGGTATTTAATAATATTCTCATAATATCATAAACATCATTTCCCTCTTGGTGTTATGACATATTGAAATGGAAACATTGATTTCCAAGTCTATTTTTCTCTTCTTAACCTCCTCATAATATAATCATAACACCATAAACATCATTTCTCATTTGGTGTTATAACACTACCTCAACAACCCATACCTCATGCTCTTAATCCATGTCATTGCCAATATTTAACTCTCTTTGTTCTTACAACTTACAACGTTGAAGAAATATTGTCTTCTCACGAGGCCAAAAATGTAATTTAGTCTTTTTATTTATTTATTTATTTTTTTAACTTTAATTTCCCTTTTTGCCAAGAGCGGGCCAGAGTTTAAACGCTGATAACGTGCCCTAGGCATTGCCTGGCGCCATTCCGTCTATCTCTACTCCCGCGCAAAGCAAACACACCATCGCCATAGAAGCCAAAGAGATCCGTTCTTGAAAGCGTGAAAATGGCCGAAGTGATTTCGCCGATGGACATAGATGAAGCCAATCCGTCTCAAGGACCTAACGGGAACAAGGGCAAAGCTGTAGTCGCCTCCGGCGGCGCCCCACCAGCCCACAGCAAAGCCACTCCATGGGTCGAGAAGTTTCGACCTCAATCTCTCGCCGACGTCGCCGCTCATCGTGACATAATCGATACCAGTATGCGACTTGTTTATTCTTTTCATTTAAAGACTTTTATTTTGTCTTAAACTGTTTAAGGAATGAAAAATTTCCACTGGGGTTTTTTGTCGAACAGTTGATAGGCTTACGAGTGAGAACAAAATGCCTCATTTGTTACTGTATGGACCACCGGGCACCGGCAAGACATCGACGATTCTTGCCGTAGCTAGAAAACTTTTCGGGGCGCAGATGCACAATATGGTTTTGGAGCTCAACGCTTCAGATGAACGTGGAATTGATGTGGTTAGGCAGCAGATACAGGATTTTGCCAGCACTCAGAGCTTCTCCTTTGGGTAATTCTTGCTCTGTGTTCACGTATTCACCAAATTTGCTCTTTCTTTTGGTCGTCAATAGTTTGTTGATTTTGGGGTGTTTCTTGATCTCATGTTCTTTTGTTTTTGCATCTCCTTCGTGTGTTGTTTATCAGTGCAAAAGCCTCGGTGAAGCTGGTTCTTCTGGATGAGGCGGATGCAATGACAAAAGATGCTCAATTTGCTCTTCGAAGAGGTAATCTACACTGTTAAAAGCAACTCAATTTACTTTCCTTTCTCTGATTCCTTACCATTCTACACATCTCTAATGCAGTGATTGAAAGATACACAAAAAACACCAGGTTTGCACTTATCTGTAATAATGTCAACAAGATCATTCCAGCCCTACAATCAAGATGCACAAGATTTCGATTTGCTCCTCTGGAGTCTGTCCATGTCACAGAGCGACTTAAACATGTTATCACCTCTGAAGGGTAAGTTTGTGGACTTTGTAATGATGTCACACGCTTCACAAGAAACCCTTTATAATACAAGATAATAATAAATTGTTAAATTAGGCTTGATGTGACTGGAGATGGGTTAGCAGCTCTTGTACGTCTTAGCAATGGTGATATGAGGAAGGCTTTGAACATTTTGCAGGTTTCTTATTTTTGCTTACTTGCCATATGATTCAGCTTACAGAGTTACAGTTTCTAAAATGCTTATTGTAATGTAATGTGTATATGTGTTTGATTCATGCAGTCAACACATATGGCTTCTCAGCAGATAACTGAAGAAGCTGTATACCTCTGCACAGGCAATCCATTGCCCAAAGACATTGAACAGATATCTTACTGGCTTCTAAATGAATCATTTTCATTTAGCTTACAAAGTATCCATCATATTTTATTTTCATTTTAAGGCTTCAGTTTTCTTTTCTTCTTTCTGATCTTGTTGGTGCTTAACTGCTTTACAGAAATATCTGATATCAAGGCAACAAAAGGATTGGCTTTAGTGGACATTGTAAGAGAAGTAACCATGTAAGTCTTGTATTATCTGGTTAAGAAGCTACTAGTAGTTTTGTGGGCTTATCTTGAAATCACATTTGTGTTGACAGGTTTGTTTTTAAAATCAAGATGCCTTCAGATGTTAGAGTCCAGCTCATCAATGACTTGGCTGATATCGAGTATGTATATTTGACATCTGTTTCGTTTTACTCCCAATAAAGTACTATAATCATTAGTTATGCATATGTAATCAATGGCACAGTTGTTGATTACATATTAAAAGCTATAAGTCATTGGTTAAAATCCAGTAAGGTGTTGTTTCTTTTTGATTTAATGGACTTAATGATTCTTGACTTAATGTAGAAAGTATGACTTAATAATGAAAATCAAGGTATTTTTCCATTTGATTTCCTGAGTGTTCTGTCAGTTTTTCAAATATTTTTTTATTTAAGCATTTCATTATTTGTAAATTTATATTTATTCACATATATTGGTAGATACATATTTCATATTTCACATATTTTATTATATTATTGATGTGTTAAGAATGTATGTCATTATTTGTATCAAATGCTTTTTCTGTATTTTATAAGTTTATAATTTATTTCTGATTCCAATGCATTTTGATCATTTATTACATAGTGAATCCATGTGTGACTTTATGATTTGCTAAATTGCCATAATATTCCTTTAGAATTTACATTCAGAAATCAGAACAGTTATTAATTACTTTTCAAGTATCATATAAATTTAAAATTTGTCATTTGGAATTTACATCCAGAACCATAATTTAGAATCTAAATTCAGAACAGTTATCAAATGTATAGTCATCTCTCATTCAGCACTAGTTCGAGCCAGAAGGGGTAAAATAGTCATTTACTTTACTCAGCCGAGGAAGGAAACAACATTTGTTCATACTACACTTCTTTCAGACATACATCATTTATTCCAACAACACTTAATAAAGAAAAAGAGAAACCAGGTCCTAAAAGTGGTCCTGTGCTTCCAATTTCTTGAAATTATAAAGAAAATCAGTCTTTTTGTCCAAAAACTAGTTAGCAGTATGTTAAAAGATGAATCCCATTACGAAGTATTAGTTTCTTGAATTCATTTTTGTGGTTGTTATGTGATTTTACAGGTACAGGTTAACTTTCGGGTGCAATGACAAATTGCAACTGGGATCAGTAATTTCTACTTTTACCCGTGCCAGATCTGCACTTGTTGCTGCAGCAAAGTAGCCAAAATGTTCAAACAAATGTATCATCATCTTTTAAGAAAATAGTATGATGATGTCACCATGTAATTGGCATTGAAACTTGTATGATCTTGTTAACTATGTCTTTTTCGTTAAACCTGTAGGGATTCAGACCTTATAACCATCTTCTTTTTGTTTAGAATTTTTTGTTTACATTGGTTGTTATTTAATGTCTGGTGCTTTTATTTTTGTTGCAAATTTGTCATCGGAGATTCAGACCTTTTCCATTGGTTGTTAATGAGGGTCTGTAGGGATTCAGATCTTTAGGCCATCTTTTTGTTACTGTATTTATCCAATTGGTAAATAATGCACACTAAACATGATGGTTACTTTGTTTACAAACCTTTAATAATTTTACAGACCCTTACTTGAAGAAAACCGAGTGACTTCCAAAAATTAATGCTAAACATTTCTATAGGTCGTATTCAATGTCTGTTTACAAACCTTGGTTGTTTGAAATCTGGATGACTGTTAATGTTGAATGGAGAACATTGGCATATAGGTTTTATTCATTGATTTATATTACAGGTAACTGCTCTTCTGTTTGCAAACATTTAGTAACTTAACAGACCCTCATTTAGATAAATGGATGACTTGTTAATGACAACGCAAACAAAAATAGCATAAATGTCTTATTAATGATCTTTACTGAAGATGACCTTTCTCTTGTTTATAAACCTGTAATACAGTAATAGTTTTATACACACTCATTTTTAGAATTAGAAGGGTTAATGACTTGGGAGGGTAATGTACTATGTTCCATGACACATTTTGTCACTAAACTATTTTTGTGCATGATTTAAGGTTAAGCTCTCTTAAGTTGTTCAAAAACTACCATTATGAAATAGTATTGTAGGTTAGGCGGTTACTTTGCTTATCTGGAAAGAAAACAAATGAATGTTAATTACATGGATATTCCGTGAAAAAGGGTTAATGACTTGAGAGGGTATGTACTATGCACTTGTACACAATTAGTCATTAAACTATTTTTGGTACACTATTTACCATTAAACTCTATTCAAATGTTCAAAAACTACCATCATGACAAGGTATTGTCAGTAAAATGTTGATTTGATATCTATTTAGCTGAAATTGATCTAATACATAATTATGGACTTATATTCGGTATGCAAGACGAACATATCTTGCGTCCTAATTTAAATGAACAATGTTCCAGCAATGTCGTCTTCTTCTATGCTCTCCAACTCTAATACGAAGAGGCAAATCAAAATTATATGTAATTGTGGCTTTCTATCTCCAGTCAAAACATTTTGGACCGAAGATTAACCCTAAAAGATGATTTAAGGTGTGGTCGACTCTATGGTTATAATGGTAGTTTTTGAACAAGTGAAGAAGGTTTATTTGTAAGTCATATAGCAAAAATACTTTAGTTACTAAATATTTATAAGAGGCAGAGTACATTACCTACTTAAGTAATTATAACTATCTATATGATTAATATTTCATCTTTATTTTTCCAAATAAACAGGTTAATAATATGACCTTCAATTTCCAATCATTATATTGAATAGGTGAATAAAGTTTAATGATAAATTATTTACATAAAATATTTAATGACTGACTCTATATACAGCTAACACAAGACATAATACAATTATTCTCTCAAAGTCATTAACTTTTTAGATTGGTGAATGACTTTTAATATTGCACAAAATTAATTGCCTATTCAATTATCTACCTAGAGATAGTCTTCATTTTTCTTTTGTTTACAAACTTGTAATAATATTTTAGACCCTTAGTTTTAAAAAAAAAATTCAAAGACAAGTTGTTATTGTATGTAAAATTGAAAATAGGCTTTTAGAAATGGAAATTAAATAAATGTTTCTGTAAAGATATTTTACGAGGGTGTTGAAAAATACACAACGTTACTCCTAAAATTTTGGTTTTGTTAACTAGTTGAACGTATGGTGTTCAAGTATTCCACGAACTAAATAGTTAAGTTTTCACTGAAATCAATCATAAAGAATCGGCACTTTTTGAAATCAAAGTCATGGAAGATGACCTTTTTCGTTTGGTTCTTTACATTATTTTGGCAATAAACCAGTCAGGCACTCATATACGCCAAACGCCCATGCCTACATGGTTACATGACTTTTCAAATCTCAAACAAATACTCCAAAATTGACGTTTATGGCAGATTCCAGATGATAGCTGACAACGCAGTTTTGAGTAGTATGTAGGGGCCCTTCTCTCATCATCAATCATCTCTCTTTGTAATTATCTTTGGTACCTACACACCGCTAGACCCCCACCGGAACATTAATTCCGACCTAATTTTAGGGTTTTATTCATTCACACACGGATTAAGGATTTTCTGTTCAATTGAGATTCCTGCTGCCGGTAGATCACGTATAGAATCGAGGTTCGTTATCCTTCCTACTTGCTGAAGTCTTTATCAACAGTTGATTTTTTAATCAGTATTTGATTGGCTTGTCGGGTTCGCATTTCATAATCAGGTGTTAAAACCCTAATAATGTTATAACCACCGTCATCTCGGAAAATTGGGCGTTTTTGCTGTTGAACTTATTCAACGTGAACGTGGTCATCTTTCGTGGCTAGTTTTTGGTTGTAGACGATGGAAGATGAAATAGGCAGAGACTCTACATGGACTAGGGAGCAGGATAGAGCTTTCGAGAATGCTCTGGTTGAATATCCCGACGAGGATTCTGATGATCGTTGGGAAAAGATTGCCGCCGATGTTCCCGGAAAGACTGTGGAAGAGATTAAGCATCACTACGAGTTATTAGTTGACGATTTAGACCGTATTGAATCTGGTATTGTTCCTCTACCTTGCTATAGTTCCTCTTCAGAGGACTCTGCAAACCATGGAGGTGATGATGGAAACAGTAAGAAAGGTGGTAACAGTGAATCCGTTCATGGAGTTAAGTCCTCAAAGTCAGATCAGGAGCGCCGGAAAGGTGTTGCATGGTCAGAAGATGAACACAGGTTAGTTTTTTAATCTAAAACCTCTGTTTTGTGAGAATCTGTTATTGATCTCATTTTATGGTAAAAAAAAAAAAAACAGATTATTTCTTCTTGGGCTGGAGAAATATGGGAAAGGAGATTGGAGAAGTATATCCAGGAACTTTGTAGTGACAAGAACTCCTACCCAAGTTGCAAGCCATGCACAGAAGTATTTCATTCGGTTGAATTCAATGAATAGAGAAAGGAGGCGAACAAGCATTCATGACATAACTAGTGTCAACAATGGTGATGGAGCTGCAATCACTGGTCAAACAAATGGTTCTCCGGCAGGTAAGTCAAGCAACCACTCTCCTCTGGTGACCGGAGATCCTTCTTCCTCCATGGTTAGTGGATTACCGCTAGTTTTGGCAGTAGGCACACCTGTAAATCTTTCACCAGTGTCACACATGACATACCCCATGTTGAACAAATCATCCCGTAGGTGAAGTTGCAAGTTGGAAACCTGTAGAAAGAAGGTTAGAAAGACACTATAGGTTCATTGATTTCTTTAAACAATAATGGCCATACTGATTAGACACACACACATATATATATATATATATATATATATATATATATATATATATATATATATATATATATATATATATATATATATATATATATATATATATATATATAACTGATTGAAAAATGCAAGGTATGTTAGAATGGCCTAAATGTGTACTTTCTTGCAGGATAACGATGCAAACTATTGTTACTATGTGAAAAATCACAGAGACCAACATGTTCTAAGTTGGTGGTACTATGGTAGGGTTAAGGAGCTTGGTGTTATGCTCGATTGAAAAATCAATTCATTCATTCACATTTGAAGTTGGACTCCATGAACGGGTGCACCAACGGATTTGGAAACCCATGTTGATGTTGGAAAAACATTATTTTTCTTCTTTAGGAAAATATGATTTTTCAACGACGTATAAATATGTATATTTTGTGATCCGGTTATGTGATATTTAATGGGGTTGCGTTCTTATATAGTGTTTTCGTAAAGATGTATTGTATGTTTAAGTTTAAGTTAATGTGTATACGATATCAACTCTTAAAAAGTCAAAGTGGGATCTTTGGAATAAAAGATGGAATTTGGAAAAGGGGATTTTATAAAACAATGGATTCCTTACCATTTAGTTGAATGACAAAGAGTCGAATTAGGGTTCCACCTACTTATGTGTACTTGGACTTAGGTCGTGAGTTCTGTGAGTGGTGCTAATAGAGGCATTTTGCACTTGTTGGATATGCTTATCGCATCATTGTAATACACATCAATTTCTTGTGCACGAGTCAAGGTCAAGTTCTAGACATGCGTAATTATGTGATAATGTTGAATGAATTCATCATTATTTGAAAATGTGTTTTCTTGCTTAACTGGTGAGTATGGAAGCTTATATGAGAAAGAAGATGATGAGACTAAGAGAAGTAAAAAAAGGCAATAGTTGATAAATTGTTTGGTTCTGATGCTGTTACCTATATGATGGAAGATTGATCCAAATTATAGTTTGAGGAGGTTGCTTCTTCAGAAGGATATCAATGGAAAGAAGCTACTACCAAGATTGAAATTCACTATTTTGCAAAACCACACTTAGAAGTTAGTGGATCTTATTTCGGGAAGAAAACCAGTAGGTTATCGTTGGATCTTCAACAAGAAGGTAAATGACCATATCAATAAATATTAACCAAAATTAGTTTTTAATGGTTACAATGAGAAAATGATCTTTTTAAATGGACATTTAGAAGACGAATATACATGGAACAATTAGAACTTTCACTTCCACATGATAAGAGAAGAAGCATGTAAACTTGTTAAGTCATTGATAGACTTAAAGCAACTAAAGGAACTGGGGCTTACCGAACTCAATATGTGTTGAAAATGTGTTCGTGTCCGAGTAGTTCATGGTTCAAGTCTTGTTGTAGAAAATTGTGTAAATTTAGGAGAGAGAGAGAGAGAGAGAGAGAGAGAGAGATTTTCGTTCTTGAAAAACATAAACAAACTCCGAAACAATGACTTCAAAAGTTTGACCACGCCATGATTAAATGTGGTCACATAATCAACGAATGTGACAAGTGTTTGTAAAAGACTAAACTGATGCTTTTTTTCATAATATCTTCATATTTAGATGTCCTTTTTTTTTTTGGAACAAGAACTTTCTAAAAAAAGAGTTTCCGGGTCAGCTTTTGTGCAATAAATAATCCCCTGCTGCAAACATGAGATTATGCCTCATGCATTGGAGATATTGCATGCGAACCTCCATGGCCACAAGGACTGAGTAGTGCTAAGATTTGAACATTGGTTAATATGTTATCCATTATATCTTCCATATGTCTTACCACATCACCACAACCCAACAGTCATTAAAAGCAATGAAAAGTGATAAAAATGAGATTTGACATGAAATATACGGGTCTTATAAGAGTTTTTGAACTAATCTCCAATGACCATAAGAGATGTGTATTGCAATATTTATAATCATACAAGATTAAAACAAAAATTTAAAAGTACAACAATAATCCTATAATACTGGATCTATACAATCTTGTGAGATTGTGATATATCGTTAATACCCTCTCCAATGATCACGACAAATGTGTATTACAATATTTATAATCATACAAGATTACATTGAAAATTTAAAAGTACAACAAGAATCCTATAATAGTGGATCTATACAATCTTGTGAGATTGTGATGTATCGTTAATACCCCCTTCGAGTAAGGAAGGGAGGAACCAACACAGAGCTTGGATTGAAAATACTCAAACATTGGACGCAGGAGACTCTTGGTGAATACATCAGCAACCTATTGAGTTGTAGGGATAAACCAAGTGGATAGGTATCCTGAAGCAACAAATTCATGAACAAAATGACAATCAATGTGGATGTGTTTAACATGCTTGTGAGAGACAGGATTTTGACTCAAGAAGATGGCCCTTTTATTATCACAATACAAGCACAATGTAATGGAAATAGGGATATATAGTTAACATAACTGGTGTGTAACCTAAACTACTTCAGTTGCAGTATTTGTCATCGCTTTATATTGTGACTTGCAAGATTGTAGAGATCCACTATTATAGGATTCTTGTTGTACTTTTAAATTTCATTGTAATCTTTTATGGTTATAAATATTGCAATACACATCTCTCCTGATCATTAGAGATTAATTCAAAAAGTCTTATATGGTATCAGCCTCCTTTAATAACCGATCCTATTTTTTCTTCTTTTTCTCCATGACTACCGGAAGTTCATCCAATGATGGTTCTCTTTCTCTCAACACCATTCTCCATATGTTAACCACCAAAAATTCTTTAACCAACTATCTCCTATGGAAGAATCAGATCATGCCTCTACTCAAATACTAGAATTTGTTTTCTCATCTTACTGGTTCCTCTTCTCCCCTTCCTGAAACTATCATTATTGCATATAAGTCTTCTCCCAATCCCACTTTCACTACTTGGCAAGAAGCATATCAATAGGCAATCTTCATTCTTCAGTCCTCACTCACTAAAGAACCTATGGAAAAAGTTATTGTCCTATCTACTGCATGTGAAGTTTGGTGTACACTTGAGTCTACATACAATCATGATTTTGTTGAACGTATGCAAAATCTGTGTGATTCTCTTCGTCAATTGTAGAAAGGTTTGCCTTATGTTTCTGAATTTGGTCGTAAGCTTAAGTCTCTATATGATTAGCTTGCAACTATTGGCGAACCCATAAAAGATGATGACAAAAGCCATTGGTTTTTATGAGGTATTGGCTCTTCTTTTGAGACCTTTTCCACAGCTTACAGAGCTATCAAACCAAGGCCCCTTTTTCGTGATATTCTCTCTCAAGATGAAGGTCACAAACTATTTCTCAAATATGTTTACGGATCTTCTACTCCTCCAATGGTGTTTAATGCTCAATCTGATTGCTCCACCTCTTCCAATGGTGGTAGCTATAGTCGAGGTGGTCGTGGTCATGATCAACGATCATGAGATTGCCAATTGTGTAGGAAAGATGGCCCTTATGCCACTCAATTCCATGATCTCTTTACCTTTCCAAACAGGGGACCAACTGTAACGCCCGCAGATTCGGGCTAGTCAATTTAGATATAATAAGCGTCAAAAATGACTTTTTAATAAGAGATTATTTAGAATAAATAATCTTAACCAAGTTATAGTATATATCACAAGGGTTATGTACATATAAGGAACGCCCAAATCTGAGTTATAACGAAGAAGTTATGACATGTCAAAGTTTTACGACAAAACTGGCACGACACCGGGAATCGTAAAAAGTGATTTTTTGATAAACTAATTTTTAGTCTTAGAGATCTAAATGAAAGTTGTAGTATACGTTAAACCGAGAACATACATAAAAAGAACTCCCAAATCTGACTTCGTATGAGGAAGTTATGATTTTTCTAAGATTTGGTATAACAATGCACAACCTGAAATTCAAATTTTAGATCGATCGATTTTTGGCCAATGCAACCTAAATTATAATTGAAGATCTCATTAATAAGAGCTCAATGATAAAAAGACAGATGAAAACGGAGTCCGTATGTAGAAGTTATGAATTCTACACGGTCATTTAACAATGTAATCTTCTCATACTGTTAAATTTTAAATCGGCCAAGAATTAGCCAACAGAGTCAAAAGGAGAGTTGTAGATCTTGTCAATACCTATGCGTGGATATAAAGAACGTCGAAAATGGAGCTCGTATGCGAAAGTTACGGGGTTTAGAATCCAGGAGTGTGTTGCTGCGAAAGGGGTGACATTGCACGATTTGAGCCATTGCTTTCTCCCAAAGTCTTGCCACCAGATTGTGACATGTGGCACCCAACTCAACGAGTTGGAGGCCCAACTCGACAAGTAGGGCAGTTTTCAACCTATAAATAAGGGCGTAAGCCCCCTCCATTATGTGAGGTGTTTAAAGTGGGATTTCCAAACAGTATACTTCGTATACCAAATTGACCCTACCTCCGATATGATCATACCTGGTTGTTCCTTACTTGATAGATCATGAGAGTAGACTTTGAGTTAATGATGAATCTAGACTAATAATTAGTCGCAATAAATATTAGACTAAAACTTAGTGATAATAATGCTAGGTTTCGTCGAAGGAAAATAGAATCATTAGAAGCAAAGCGCTGCCCGAGTTTGGAATCATCACTTTGACAAGTGAGTGCATAATCCTTTTCATGAACATGATTTTAATACAAGTATTAAATAATGTATTAAATGTTTGTTGGTGTGTAAAATATTTGATATTGCCTGAAATACGTGTTAAGAGCATAACGATTATTTTATCATGATGTGGACATCAAAGTGTCACGACGTGGAGATGGAACCTAACCTGCAAAATCGTGATGAATGCTTGGCCCATGATGTGGCACCCACTTGGGCATGATGTGGGAATGTTCTTGTTAGAGTTCGGATTTTATGTTGTATCAGAGTTGTATGAACTTTGTTCACAAATGTATGTTATGTATAATATCTTTACTTATTTCGAAATGTTTATTTGAGATGGATGTTGGATGAATGTTTTATATAGGTTTGTATATGATTTAAACTATATATGTAATTTATATCTACAAATATGTTGGGTAGAACATGGGTAGATGAAATAGTTGGCGTGTGATGAAATAATGTGATAAGAGATAGGTGAGGATATAATGGTGATGATAAATAGGTAATGAATTACGAATCCAGGCGATGTTGTGGCTGCGTATTCATGCGATGATAGTCTAACCCTTATTTTGAATTACAAGTCCAGGCGATGTTGTGGCTGCGTATTCATGCGATGATATTCTAACCCTTATTATGAATTATGAGCCCAGGCGATGTTGTGGCTGCGTATTCATGCGATGATAGTCTAACACTTATAATGAATTACAAGTCCAGACGATATTGTGGCTACGTATGCATGCGATGATATTCTAACCCTTATTATGATTTACGAGTCCAGACAATGTTGTGGCTGCGTAATCATACGATGATACCCTAACCCTTACTAGACACGTATTGAGGGAGTGATCCCCGAATTAGTATTGTCTATGCGGTGTAAGCGATGATCCTTAGGAAAAGTTCTTAGGATCAAACATATAAGGAAATAAGATGTAAAGAGATGAGAGGTAAATATGATATAGGAGATGACCCTTAGGATAATATCTTTAGGGAAGATTAAACGAAGATAATGGGGATGGGTAATTGGGTTGATTGTTTGATGATTAAATATAATAATTATATTATATTGTGGGTTGAAAACCCTATATGCTCACCAAGCTCCCAAACCTGATCCACTCACTTTTCTTTGCATTACAGGTAATGACACAAGGGTATAAGTTGGTGGACTTGACGAGAGATTTTGGATTATAGATCAATAGTTATAAATAACTGTTGTAAGGTCTATTTTATATTTTTTATGCTTTTGGTATGTATCGGAACATGACATCCCGAGATTTTGTTATTTAATGAAAATACATTTCTGTACGAAATGTTTTGATAAATTTTATTTTATCATATTTTATTTTGGGAACAAATTCCGCAACTCTTTTAATCAAATGATTACTCTGATTTTATAAAAAAAAAAAGCATAAACAAATTGGTATTTTCTGGCCATGAAATTAGGGATGTCACACCTTTTCTCCTGATCCGTACTCACGGATCTAAAACTAACCTTTTCCCCAGATCCATACTCCCGGATCTAAAACTACTTGATCCATACTCACGGATCTAAAACTAACCTCCTGACCTGATCCATACTCCTGGATCAATAATTGTACCCAATCCATACTCCCGGAATAGGGACAATTAACTATACCTTAATCCTGATCTAATCCATACTCACGGATCAATAACTGTGCCCAATCCATACTCTCGGACTAGGGACAATTAACTTAGTCTTAATCCATACTCCCGGACTAATAACAAGTTTTATCTCTTTACCTGATCCATACTCGCAGATCTAAAACTAACCTATTGGTCTAATACATACTCACAGATCTAAAACTAGCCTCTTGATCTGATCCCTACTCATGGATCTAAACTAATCTCTTGATCTGATCCATACTCACGGATCTCACCTACCCATGTCCTACCCAACATATTTGTAGTTACAAAATACATATACAGTTTAACTCATTAAAACCTATATAGTTCATCCATTCCACCAACATCTCAAATAAACCACAATATATAAACACATATCACGTATTTCATAGCAAATACTTCATACTTATGTGTTAGAAGAAAGTAATTATACACTCACACAAAACATATACTTAATACATTTAAACAATACTTGTATTAAAATCGTGTTTATGAAAGGGACTATACACTCACTTGATCAGAAGATGATCGGACAACACTACAGCTCTAAGAGTAGTACTTCTTCGGTGAAACTAGAAGATCTTCACACACCGGGCTTCTCGCAGGCATAACTTCGGCTCGAAAACTCTTTTCTTCTTGGGATCTTCGGGCTTTGGGACTTGCTTCGTGTCTCGGGATGATACCAAGGCTTCGAGGGTTAAAAGAGAGCTTAGAGAGGGTATCAGGAGTGGGAGAGAAGAGATTGAGTAACCAAACTCGGTTGCCCCTTAAATTCTATTTATAGGGTCATTTTTCTGGATTCATGAACCTTCAATTCAAACATTGAAATTCTTGGCTAGCCGCAATAAATTTGGCTCGCCCAATTTCCCGATTCTAATCCTTTTTCCGGCAAAAGACCTTATTGGGTTAGGGTCCCTTAGAATATCTAATTGTGGGTATGAAAGTGATTTATGATAATCAAAGACTCTTATTACAAATTTAAACTTTAGTTGAATTTCTGAACATTATTTTCTATTTCTAGAATTCATTTCTTGGTGTCAAAATAGGATATGTGATATAAAAATGGAGGATCTATTATCTTTTTCATGTCGTGAATCTCAAATATTCAAGTCGTGATTTCAATAGTCATCAGGTGCGTCATTGCAACTTGCGTCTGTCAGGCTCCAGAAGTCATAAATACTGAGTTCACGTCGTGAACACTGTATTCACGTCGTGAACTCTGACGGTTTTGGGGTTTCACGCCCTGAACTTCAGAAATTCATAACTTTCGCATACGAACTCCGTTTTCGACGTTATTTATATCCACGCGTAGGTGAGATTATGCTCTACAACTCTCATGTAGACTTTGTCGGCTAATTTTGACTTTATTTTTATTATATTATTTATATATTATTTTTAGTAGGCCGGGACATAAAAACTCCGTTATAAACTCGTAACTTCTTTATATGTCGTCTGTTTTTGTTTGTCTTTTCACCGTTGGACTACAATCAACGAGATCTTCAATTCTCGTTTAGATTGTTTTGGCTAAATATCGCTCGATCTCATATTCGAACTTCGGGTTGTACACTGCTAAACCGAAACTTCGAAAAATCATAATTTCCTCATACGAAGTCAGATTTGGGCGTTCTTTTCATGCACACTCTCGGTTTAACATATTCTACGAATTTTGTTTAGATCGCTAAATCCAAATATCACTATATCATAAATTCATTATTTACGTCGCGGTTGTGTCATGTCGGTTCTGTCACAAACGTTTGACAGGTCATAACTTCTTCATTATAACTCAGATTTCAACGTTCTTTATATGTATAGAATCCTTGTAACATGTACTACACCTTAGTTAAGATTACTCCTTCTAAATAATCTTCCAACAAAAGGTCATTTTTGATGTTTATCGTCTCTAAATTGACTAGTCCGGATCTACGGGCGTTACAATTAGAGAATCTAAGGTGAGAGTTCCAATGGCGTTCAGAACTAAGATGACTCTATCTCTTGATAAACTAGCTACTGATATCATATTGTACAAACATATGATTGGCCGATTATTATATGTTACATCTAGTAGGCCATATATCATGTTCACTATTTGTTATTGTGCTCGATATAAAGCAAATCCTCGTGAACCTCATATGATCGCAGTCAAAAATATTTTCTAATATATTAAGCGAACCAGGTCTCTTGGCTTGTGGTATCCAAATAATTATGGATTCTTTGTAGAGACTTACTCATATGCAAATCTTGGTGGTTGTGGACTAGATCGAAAAGTACAATGGGTGGATGTCAAGTTCTTGATGGAAAACTTGTTAGTTAGAAATCAAAGAAGTAGACTTATTTTTTCTTTATGTACTGTAGAAGCTGAATATATAACAGTGACTTATTGCACTTCGCAGATCATCTGGATTCAAAGTTAGCTACGAGACTATGGGATAAACATGAAGAAAATACCATTATATTGTGATTCAAATGTACAATAAGAATATGCCATAATCTAGTGTAACATTCTAAAACTAAACATATTACTTTAAGATATCATTTTGTTAAAGATCATGTAAAAGATGGAAATGTTGAATTTCATATTGTTCATTCCACAGATTAATTGGCATATATCTTCACAAGAACCTTACCTGAATCAACATTTAATCACATCTTACATGAGCATGGAATGATTGAAGCAGATTCGGTTCTGAAATCTTCTTGAATAGTTATTGTTGCGAATTAGTTACTGTTTATCTGTGAATAGTCCCAAACTTTGAAAGCAGTCGGAGCGTTACTGTTCATCTGTGAATAATTCCGATCCTTGGAGGTAGTCAAATCATTAATGTTCATCTGCGATCAGTTCCGATCTTTGTAGTCTATCAAAGAATTCATTTATGTGATTCAATTATTCTTCATGTCCAAACAGTTCCAATCATCGTAATTCATCGTAACATGTTTTTGTAGTTACTTCTTAGTTGCTAGAGGGTACATCTTTTCGTAGGCTGGTGCACTAGGTAACTACCAGCCTAGGTAACTGTTCTTTTCTTTATTCTAGTTATTTCATTTTTTCATGTTTTACTGTTCTCTTACGATGTCTTATGTTTTTCAAAAAATATAGAAATTCAAAAATATTTTTATTTATTTTTCGAAACTACAAAAAAGAAATTATTTTCTTAATATTTTGAAACATACATTTTTTTTTTTGAACACTAATATGTTGTAGGCTGTAACAAGGATTTGACGGATCTCACTCAATAATTTTTACCTAAGATGTTACGAGTTAAAACCAATTTGGGATTATGGTTTTGTAAAAATTATTTTTGTGATCAATTTCATTGTTACCATGAGATTGTGAAAAAGTCGATTCAATCTTCTTATCTCATATTTCTTACACAATGCACACACTATGACGTATATCCAAGACATCTCTAGTAAAAAACAACTAGGATGTAGATATACAAAAAATTTGTGTTTATGATCTTGTTGTCATTATTACCATGATGCAAGTGAGACCCATCAAACAATTCCAACTTCATTCCATACATTCTTTCAACCATATATTTTTATCTTTTCACGTAAACCCTTGATGATTCATGTATAACCAACTTGAACTTAGGTTCACACAATTTCTGTGTTTATGATTGTAAAGTCATTATCACCATGACTTTCGTGAAACCTAACTATTGATATGGAATTGACGGTGAACAACTTGTTGTTCTAGATTTTAACCAATGAATTGACAATATTTTTTTAATGTTCAAAATCTAATTATTTTCTTTTGCTAGATCTTAATGAAATTGATTGAATACAAATCATTTCTTCCAAATAGATCCAAATTTTATACATCAAATTATGAGATTTCCCTTTGAACATTTCATCTCAATATAAATTTCCTAACGTAAAGCCTTTTGCTTACTTCAATTTGGCTACACTAGTCAATCAAGGTTTTCTTCTCGTATCTCTGTACTTAATTTAGTTGCATCTACGATCAGAAATGAACCTACCTGTTTAAACTGAGAAAAGATACCTTCCGTAACTTCTTAAAAAGTTGACGATCGTAATTCAATGGGAAACCATACAAGTAATTCTTGGTCTCTCTTGACTATGAAGGAAGAAAATCTTTTTCCGGGATCATACTACTTTCATATCACAAATCCCTCACTATTTTATTTATTTAATTCTTTTCTTTGGCACACTCTTGCACTAAAATCCTTATTATTTTACAAACTCTGGTTTCGGCTACAATATCTCATTTTAGTTATGAAATAAATCCTAATCGTAATTCCAATGGAACCTATTTTGAATGATGTAAAGCTAGAGGGTGGATCAGTGATTGTGAAACTGATGCAAATTGAATTGGTATGTTTCCATTTATGAAAAATTCAAATTTATGGCACATATTTCATAGGTTTACGACGTCATCTTTGCACTCAATACGAAGTCTGGAGGTTGGTACAAAGAATGATGAGTTGGCACATACCTATTGGATGAGCATGGGAATTATTGGCTGACGAGTGAGATGACAGGCATTTAATGCATGAATCATGATTTTCTCTCTCTACTTATACACAATGGTTCAAATTCAAAAATAAACTGCTTGGATATCCAATACTATATAAAGCCCAAGAGTTATCAATTCTATTCTTTATGCTTCCATTCATTCAACATATGTCCTAAATTTTCTCTGTTGTTCATCTATTTTCTGCAAAAAAAAATTTCAACACAAATAGCATCATCTGAGAAAATTTATTTCATGGATCAATTACCCTTTACTGAAATTTTGAATATCAAGTTGATTTAGAACTTAATGGCTGGTTTGGATGCTCTAAAGTAGAACACTACCATTCGAACTTTGATCGAATGCCTTAATCATTCACAATTGATGAAGGCTTTGATATTATTTAAAAATGTTCCTTTATCTGCATTATCCATGGCGTACTCTATTGAAATCTGTAACATGGATGAAGAAGTGATGAATTTTGAATTTCATGGTCATCGTACTTCAATCTCCAAAGCTAATTTTTGCAAGGTGTTAGGGCTTTCTTCATTAAGTAGTGTTATTAATCCAGATTTTGTTTTTGCTACAAGTATTATTGTTATGTTTCATCAAATGGGGTATAATTTTGATCTTCATCTTCTATCCAAGTTTAAAAAATCTGATTTACCTCTGAATTGCTAGGCTCTCTTCACAATTTTATTTAAGTGTTTATTAAGGAGGGTCATTGGTTCAGATAGTGCAAGCAAATTCTTTTATACTCTAATATAATATACTTTTTACTGGTAAGAATCTGTATTATGGAACTATGATTTGGACTCAGTTTTCTCAAAGTGTGAGTTCAACAACAGATGATTCGGAGATTTAGTGTTCTAGGTTTTCGTCGATTGTTGTTTGTCGTGCCGTAAACCACTATCAAGTTCCAGAGATGAATGATGTTTTGATAATTGATATTCCAAAGATACAGACTACCACGTTTGTGAATTATGATCCAAAGAATTTCAATTTTGTTGGTTCTATTCCATAGGTGATGTTGTCTAGGGTTTCGCTTGATAATGTCTTTATTCAATAATATCAGAAAAACCCTAATACCGGAGTTTGTGAAGTTCCTACTTCATTACAAGAAATTCTTGATGCTGGTGATGTTCCAAAGAGGGGAAGAACAAAGAGAAAAGTGAAAGCAACTGAGGTTCTTTCAAAGAAATTTAAGCCGCAAAGAAAACCTAAATCTAAATCGGCTGTGATGGATGAGGATTCGGAAGAGATAACTAAAAGTGATGTTCGGGGTGAAAATACTTTTGCGAAAGATACTGCGACCCCATTGAAAGTTTCACTAAAGGCTTCAGAAAAAATTACTCCACATGTACTTTCGAAGGTATCTACTCCACTTTCATCATCTATTCTTAAATCTACTCAAACTCCACTCAAGTCTGATATTTTTGATCAAATGTTGAATGAACCATTGCTTGATCTTTATCAAACACCACCACTTCCTCTACCATTTAACACAAATGTTTCGATCCAAACTAATATTTCACCTCTTCCAAACACCAATTCTGAATCAACAATGCCAACCCAAACCACTTTACATATACCAACTCTAATTTTCACTTCATCTACTACAAATCCTTCTGTGACTAAAGCTAAAACAAAAAAATCCCACCAGAAGCTCCTACTTTCCAATCCTTTATGGAGGAGAATTGGACTTCAAGCATCCCTAGAAACACATCTAATATGGATCCAAATGTCAACATTAGTGTGACTTAACCACCTGTTTCAAAACCAATTCCAAAATCTGAAGCTATTGTTGATCTATCTAATTCCGATATGGAATTTGCTTTTCTTGATGAGTAGATATTAAGCTTACTAGAGGTTTTGAGGATATAATGCTTCCTTCGACTTCTTTTATTTTTGATGATGAGAGTGAAGATAATGTCGACCCTTTTACTCCAATGACTCATGGGGAGTATAGGATTTTGAATAAGAAGCTAAATCATTTACTTCGTTATGCTGGTACTTTCTCTACTACCAATTTTGAGAACTCTGTGACCTCTCGTCAATCTATTATGCAACTAATGCAAGCTCTTACTTCCGAGAATGCAAAGACATTTGAAGCTCAAAAGAAGTTAGTTGAAAAGTCTATTGTTAAAGTTGAAAGTGTTATGAAACATGTTGATTCAACACTTTTAAAAGTGAAGACTCTTGCTACGAAAGTAGATGGATTTTTGAAGAATTTTCAAGAAAAATATGATAATCAAGCGATTACAGTTACAAAAATGATTGAATGGTTTTGTGATTCTCTTTGTAAGGAAAATGAAAGTCTATATTCTCTTCACTTTGGGATACAAAAAGACAATGCAGATCTTCACACTGATGTTTCCAGTTCTATTATTTCTCTTCAAAACAATCTTGAAGGTGAAAACAAGTTTATGGATGTGATTGCTTATAAGACTCAGAAAATAAATGTTCTTCAAGAAAAACTTGATAAAGTTACAAAAGACAATGCCAGTATGAATGAATAGTTTTTGCTTGTGAAATGTAGAAAATTTGAGATTAATCAAAGGTTGCCAAAAATTATTGAAGATAAAGATGGTCCTTATGTTGATTATGTTTTTAAAATGATGGATGCTAATCTTAAGCCAATTCTTTTCAAGCTAGGAACTATTATTGATGTTACAAGTACTAGAGCTACTTCACAACAAGGGGGAGAAGGAAGTTCTTAAAAGGTTCCTGTTACACAAGAAATTATGATTTCCAGTTCTCAAGATGTTCCTCCTATGAATCTAAAAAGTCCTTATCACATTGAGGAAATGAAAAAGTCTGATGATGTTGCAAAGATAAATATTGAAAAGCAAACTCTTGTTAGTAAGTTGAAAATTTTGGTTGAAAAACCATTAAATGAACAGAAGGGTAGTGCAACTTCTGATTTTGAGAAAGGAAAAGTGAAGATAGTTTTTGAAGATGAAGCTAATCCATTTTTGTCGGAAGAAAAAAATATTGCTCAAGCGAAACGTGATAAATAGCTTGATATGCTAAAGAAAATAAAAGAAGAATGTGATGTAAATGATTCTAAGAAGAGGGATGATGCTCATATTGAAGCAAATAAAAAAGTTGTTTTTCCTGCTTGGACTGTGGAGAGACTGTAAGCAGAAGATTTGTCCAATGTTATTCCATTTTGGTTGGAACCTAGAACATGTGTTTGTGAACAATGATGAAGAGTGTCAGTTGTATTTTCCATTAATAATGAAAGCATTTATTTTTCGAACACTGGACAAAGTTGTTGATATCACATTGGCAAATTTAGCTACGAACAAGAACCTTTTCAATTTCTATGTCAAACAGTCAAAACCTCAGTACGAAATGTGGAGTTTAAAGTGCTTATCAGGTGTAATGGTTGGAAAACCTTTTAATTCTGAGGGTTTTGCAAATGTTTATTTTAGAGGTTTCAGAGGTGCTATCAATGAAGTATTTGACTTCATTCTTGCCGGTCTTCCACAAATGAATCATTATGACTGGATTGTTCTTCTAAGTATTGTGGCAAAGGATCCAATTAAATATGAGCCTATCTTTCAAGTCTTGAGAAGTATGATAAGAGGCTATATTCAAGAAGTTGGAAAAATGGATGTGGAGATTGTGAAGAAGCTCAATAGAAAACCAATTGTGAAGCCACTCGATAAACCAAAAGTATTTGAAAATCAAAAGATTGGGTTTATTGAGAAAGAACCTTGGAGTATTGTTTATCAAACAAGGGAGAGTGAAGCTAATCGGTATTACATGTTGTATTTGTGAGATAAGCACTAGTTATCCTTCTACATCGCTCATCAATGTGATTTCAATGGATGAGATTTTCAAATTGAATAAACCAACTAATGTCAAATGCGTCTCATATATGATCAGATGGTGGGTGGCCATTTGCATGATTTTTTTGAAGAATATTACGAAGGTTTTTGAAGTGAAAAAGAAGGTAAAGATTACAACATCAACTTGGCATAAATGGGGAGATTGTTAGAGTTCGGAGTTTATGTTGTGTTAGAGTTGTATGCACTTTGTTTGCAAATTTATGTCATGTACAATGTCTTTACCTATTCCAAAATGTGTTTTTCCGATTTTGGAATTTATGTTATTCTTAGGTTTGCAGTTTTAAACTATTGACTTAGGATTCCTTTCTAGTGCTTCTCCGATGCCTATATATAGGAGTGCTAGTTAAATAGAATGAATACCTTTGACAAAATAGTTCTGCACAACTCTTGTAACGAACTGTTCTTTTACTCATTAATGAAATCATATCTTTTACCTTTTTCAGTTCTATTTAATCGTTCCACTCTTCTTATGATGTTTTTATATTGAAATCTATCGTTCCTAAATTCTAACAACTTTGGACATAACCATTTTTATTTTTGTTATGTTCTTGATCAACTCTCTGTGTAATCTTTTACAAGTGTTAGATTACTTGTTTGAATGTGCTTTTCCTCTGTTCATTGCTCTACATACCTTGGACTAGATGTGAGTCATTTATTGTGGTGGTTTAGGCACTTGTATTAGAAAGTTAGCATGTTATTGTACTTATGTTATGGATATTCAGTTTGTATGTTGTTATAACCTTGAAAGTATGAGATTAATTCACTGTGTCGATTTTGACACTTGTTTCTTGCCTATTGTTGTGGCTTTGGCATTGGTACATGTAGCTTGACATTGATAGCCTGGTGAGGTTGTGATCTTTTCGGTAGTTATAGTTTGATACTAGTGATGATATCAATTTAAGACTTGATGTGATGTTTCATTTACATTTGGTTTGGTATTTGTTAAGGCTCGAATTTTACAACTTTGAATTATGAAGGGTTTTTGTGAAAGATTTCCAAGTAACACTGGTGGTGTTTTCTTAATAAGATTTATGCTAACATTTTCTGATTAAAATTTGTTAAAAATAAAAGAATTTTTTTAGGTGAAAAATCACAGTGTTACACCCGAGTTTTTGCAAAAAAAAAAAAAAAAAAAAAAAAAAGAAAAGAAAATAATGGTAAATAAAGTAAGGAGAGAAAAGAAGAGAAATAAGGCCACACATAGTCGTTTCAAAATTTAGAAATGGGTTAGGGCGGGACCCCCGGTACCGCCGACAAACAACTTCCTTTTAATTGGGTTTAGCGGGTTGGATGACTTGTTTGTTTCTATAGGGTTCACCAACCCGTGAGTTAATGCATTCAATTTTCCTTGACCATTCAACTTTTCTTTGACTATTCTTGCATGCATGCAATCTGCAAAGATTCCTGCCAAAACTTTAATTTACTTTTATTGCATGTGAGTATTTTTGAACAATATTCACCCGTGAGTATTTATTTTATTTATTTATCTATTTTTTGCTTTCTTTTTATAAGTTTACAATGAATGCAAAATTTATTTATTTGTAGTGTGATTTGTCTGGAAATATTTTACTAATTGGTTCAATTCCTCTAGTAACCTTCAATGGATTTCTAAGGCAAAGGTAAACAAACCGGTTCTAACCAAAGACGCAAATCCACACAATACGGTTCAAGTCAAAATATTCCATTTTCTTCTTCAACCTTTCATAACCCAAATCCAAACTATCAACAATACCAAATTTACCAACAAAACCAAAACTACCAACAAAACCAAAACTATCCACAACAATATTACCCGGTGCAACAATCTTATAACACATTTACGCTTTCAAAGGAAAATCTGAGTTATAATCCATGTAATTAGTTTTCTCAAAGGGTTCCAGAAACTCAATTCCAATCTTCCCAACCCGAGCATTTCCAGTTCCGTGATTCTCAGAACGTAGAATTTGAGAGTTCTAGTGACGATCCGGTCCCCGAAAGAAATGAAGAAGAAACTAGTGAGGAGTTGCGACCTGTTGTTGAGAAAAAACGCACCTTTACAAACCGCCAGAAGTCAAAGAAATGGGTGGAACGCGAAGAGTTGGCTTTGGCTAGGGCATATGTCGATTGTTCACAAGATAAACAACGTGGAAACCAACAACGGTTCGATGCATTTTGGGATCGGGTTCTAGAGAATTTTAATGTTCAGATTGGAGGTTCGGATCGGACACGACACCAAGTAAACTCAAAATGGAAAGACCTGCAAAAGAAATGTAACGCTTTCAACTGCATTTATAACCGTGGGATGAACAGTGTGGCTAGCAGGAGATCTGAGGCTGATGTTTTAAAAGCCTCACCAAGCGAGTATCGGAGTACTATTAATCAAAAATCCTTTCCTCATCAAAAAGCTTGGGAGTGGTTGAAAGACCACGCGAAATAGGCGTTGGTTACAAAAGCTGGTGAAAACTCCCCGCCTCCTTCTTCAAAACGAACTAAAACATCTTCATCTAACGCCCATACAACATCTTCCGATGCACAATATCCTCCCAGATTCCCCCAACAACAACAACCGTTTAATGTTGAAGACTCACCGCCTCAGAGAAAAAGAAAAGGAAAAAAGCGGCATCAATATCGTCAACACAAAATGAAATGTTTGATCTTGTCAACCATATTGCCAGCATCAACACTACAACCAACACAAAGGTGGAACAGAGATAAAGGTACCGGGAACAAAAATTACGCATTTTCGAAGCTAATGAAGCACTGAAAGCTCAATTGTTGGAGCAAGAGATAGAGAACCAAGATATGAAGTATTTTCTACGACTGCATGATCATTTGACTGGAGCTATTTTGAGCACGGTCCTTGAAAGGAAACGACAGATTGCAAGTAAATCTGGTTGGGAGTTGTAGAACCCGTGAAGTTCAGAATGTCGACATCATTTGATTGAGAATCTTTTTCTTTTTTATGATTATTTTTCTTTTTCTTTTTCTTTTTTCTTTTTATTAAGATTCTCTTGTTTCACTATCTATATATATGAATGCTGTTGGATTAGTGTCTAAGTCCATAACTATTTTGGTATGTACTTGACCCGATGGTGCATGGTCCTTTTGGGTTGCCTTCACCAAAGCAACTTGATTGGAGAAATGAATAAAGAGAGAGAGGATAATATGATTTATTAATATGTTATAAGAATAATATATTAAAGGAGAAATCATATTTGTTTAATTAATATTGGTCAATAATTAATTAAGAATTAGTTTTGTGATCAAATGTAATTAATTAAACTAGAGGGGCTGATTTGTAATTATGTGATAGTTACAAAATAAGGTAAGGATTACCTTATATATATGGTGAACGAATTTGAGGTGTAAATCCCTTAGAATTCGAGTATGATAAGGATTCAAGGATTATCTTATTGGTTGCTTAATGGATAATCAACTAGATAAGGATAATGACTGAAACCCTATCTCTACACCTATATAAACACCCCTAGGGCCATGAATTCGTGTATCCCTTCCCAAGAGGTCCTAGATACGAATTCTAACCTCTCACCTCTCTCTTTATACCTTCTCCACTTGCTTATGGTGTTTGTGAGCCATTAGAGGAGTGACACTTGTGACTCTAAGCCTTCCAAAGTCAATACAAGGAGATTTGGGATTGTTATTGCTACATAACAATCAAGGTAACACTATAAACTTATTCTCATGTTAATATGATTATATGTATGCTAGAATTAGGGTTTATAGTCTTGGATTCAAAGCATGTACAATAGAGAAACCTAGATCCAAGCATTAGGGTTTGTATGAGCACATAGGATGTCTTATGACCAAAACCCATCAGTGGTATCAGAGCCTAGATTGGTTTCAATTGTATTGATGCATATTTGATCGAAATAAGCACTGAAAATCGATTTTTTGAGTTTCTGAATGTTTGACTCGCCGAGTCACTTGGTGAACTCGCCGAGTCAGCTGTACTCGACGAGTCCAGGTCCAGACTCGACGAGTCAAAGGGTCTGACAGCTCAGATTCGCGATTTTCTTCCTGTTTTGGTTTTGGATAATTACCATAAACTTGCTTTTGTGATAAAATCCGAATTTTTTCATTATTATGTGATTATCCTTACCAAAATAGAAGATAATTGTCAAAATTTAGATAATCACTTGTTTTATTAGATAAAGTTTGATTATTTGTAATTTAGATTTGAATTATCTTGTGAAATAGTTTCAATTTATCCCTTTAGGTTTTATAGTTTAAATTTGAACCCCAAAAGTTTTGTTGTTTTGAAATTTAAATAGTTAAAACCCTAATGTTTTGAAAAAGGTTTCAAAACTTGCCCTCAAGTTTTGGAATTTAAAAGTTGATTAAAAGTTTAATTAGAAATGTTAAATTCTAAAACTCTAGTAATGTTTTGAAAAGTTCAAATCACACCCTTATGGTTTTATTAATTAATTAAGGAGTATAATTAAAAGAGGTTTAATAAATCCATAAAAGTTTAGGTTAACCTTTTAATTGAATTAAAAGTGTAATTGTTAAAGTTAACCATATAGTATTTTAAAAGTATAAAGTACACCCTATACTATATATAACATTAAAAGTCTAACATTATATATATGTATAGTAAAAGTCAGTCTTACCGTTAGTAGGCCTCATTCACGAAGCTGGTCTATAAGGGGTGTTTAAGGAAATTGCCTATAAAATGGCGATTGAATGGGTATCCACTCTTACCCACCGCACTCTTGACTAGTGGAGGGTCGTTAGCCGAACGGGTAGGATAGGACGAAACCTTCCATTATAAGTATAATGAAATACAGAGTAACTAAATGTTTCGCAAATTCCCAATCTTAGTTACTTAGGCAAAAGTGAATTGATGCAATTCCATGAAATTACACTTTGTGCCCTTGCGAAGACGTTAGTGGAGCGTGTGTGGTTTACCGGCACACTAAATGGTTCTAAGCAAAGGTAGCAAAGGGTGACTCAATGTTTGTCATAGTTCGGTGGAGCGTGTGTGGTTTACCGGCACATCGAATAGGTGATTGTAACATGTGAGGGCACCATGTAGTTTGCATGGTTATTCACACCCGCTTTGTGATCCTCGGCATCCCAGTCACAAACAAGAGGGGCATATCGAGATTTAAACATGCCATTGAAATGTTCAATGAATCTCAAAGGATCTAGGAGTTTTCATAGATTTAAAACTTAAATTTCTTTTTCGTTTTTCATGGTGGAAATTAGTGAATCGTCATTCACTTACCTTCAAATGTTCTGCATTTGGGTTACGGCATCCCTCTCCCGAGTTGTAGGATATTGTGTTGGGTCCTAGCCTTGGAATTTCATTTGGGTGATTTACCAAGGACTCAATCAATCAACTAACTTGAATTCGTTTTTCTCCCGATGTCAAAGTTCGACAACTATGGTCTTCTCAAATCCCGTGGAACAAGCATTCCACATGAAGATGATATTCCACGATTCGATCGAGGAACAAGAAATCATGCTTCACTTCCTCCTCCTCCTCCAATTATTCTCCCTAACCCACAAGATTGTAAAATTGAAAAGTTCAATATCACTCAAGCCCTTTTGGCAAGTAAACATAAAGAAGGAAAGTCGGTGTGTGCACACGTCCTAGGGATGAAGTCGCACATTGATAGACTAAGAATGATAGGATCCATTGTCGGTGAAGAGATGGCTGTTGATTGGGTTCTTCAATCACTTCCTAACTCATATAGTGAGTTCGTAAGAGAGTACTATATGATGAACCGCGACGTGACCCTTATAGATCTCACCTATATGCTTATTGCTGCTGAATCAGCAATGGTTTGGCGCAATAGAAAAGCAAAGTTGATTGGTGAATCTGCCTTCGACACCTCTGTGGATATAGACAATGGCAATGAAAGACATGCAATGATCGAAAAGTTTGATCATAAGAGAAAGGCGATGTCTGAAGTAGTTCCATGTGTTGTTCCAAAAGAGTCAATTTGCTTTTATTGCCAAGAGAAGGGGCATTGGATACGAAGCTGCCCTATTTACCTAAGAGATCTAAGAGATGGGAGAGTCGAAACGTATGGCTCTAATTTAGGTAAAATCCATTACTAACTCTTTTAAGCTTCATTCTAGGTTCTGAATACATAATGTGATAAGATTACAATTGATGTTTAGAAGGATCAAAGAAAAGAAAAGAAGCTTAAGGGAAGAAGTGAGCAGAATCTAACCATGAAGGAATGGATTTCGATTGCGTTTCTCGAAGATTAGATTCTTGAGCTACTACTTAGAGTTAGAATTAGATTGCTAAGAAAGATGTATTCGCATAAGTTTTTCAAAGAGTTGCATTGTGAAGGACAAATTTTTCCGCAATAAAATAAATTTTGATTTTAAATTTTATTTATTTATCCTTACAATGGCGTGTATGAAAAATTGATGTTAAAATTATTAGCAATAATGGATTTGTTTCTTATTATGTTATGGAAAGTCAAGAATTTACCAAATAGGGAGAGTTTCTCATCGCCCAAGTTTCAATTGGACAGAAATTGGAATCACGCAACTTGGTTGCATGATGAATGAGAAATTTCATATTTGGAAATTAGACTAATTCATTGACAAAGTGTCAAGTGAAGGACTAGGAGATCGAGTACACAAAGTTGTGTGTTGATCAAGTTCACCATAAGAGTAACAAAGATATTCGTCATCATTTACTAAAGGTTTAGTAAATATGATTATACTTACAAGATTAAGTGTAATTTTGAATTGATTAAAGGGTTTAGATCAATAGCAAAACGAATAAGAAGAATCAAATAGGCAGAAAGATAAGAGTTTCTCCATTCTAAGAAGAAGGGAGAGTGGCTTTTATGCTTTATGATAGGTCTTAATGATTAAGAACCATATCTCAATTGATCCTCTAAGTGAGTCTTGGTACAATTGTATGTCCAAGAAGAGGAATCAAAGATTGATGAAATGGTCAAATCAAAAGACAATCATACTTTGTTCCAATAACAAGTCTTAAAGTTAAGATTGTGACAATGAGTAAAAAGTATTAAAGGTTTATAACATTCATCAAATGTGGAAAGTTGTGATGTCTTGGATAAGACAAAGACCAACTATGACCAATTTATGAAGTGTTTTGATACAAGCTACACTAACTCTTGAAAATTTGTTTGTCAAGAAATGTTTATTGACAAAAGAATCTTATATGTCAAGGAGTCAGTGGGAGTCTTAATGGTCTCGAAAAGTTTCAAGAACAAATCAAATAAACCTTATCGATCATCACTAGCACACGAGTTGAGGTTTACAACCTATCGTAAAGACATTATTTTGTTTCTGTGCCAATCCAATCGAGTTAATTATGCATGTGAGTCCTATGAGTTCTCATTTGAATGCGTAAAAGGCAAGGACCTTGATCAATGAAAGGTACATTGATAGGAAAAAGGTAAGATGCTTAACTACTTGGAAGACGTGGTGGGCAGCTGTGCTACCATAAGGCAAGAAATCAAGATTAAGAAAGTTCGATCCATATGAGTTTGAATTTGTCGTAAACTTTGGTTTTAACAAATTCGCATGGATAGGAACACATACACCGTTTAAATCTAAGTGTCATAAGATTTCCTCCTTCATGAAAATGATTGTGAGAAAATGCTTTCACTAAGAAAGATTTTAAAAGATAGTGATTGTAAAATTGCATTCTCAAATTCGATCATGGTTACGGCATCCCTTTCCATAATTTGAATTGTGAGGTTTGGCAATTAGTCTTAATTGTTAAGACACACATATGAACTATCTAAGGCAAAAGTGTATAAGTTCAAGAAGCCTTGATAAAAGATTATCAAAGCACTAAGTATTAGAAACATGAACTTAAGAAATTCAATAAGTATTGTTTTTCTGAAAGTTAAGATGTTTATGAATACATGTCGAAGCTAGTGGGAGCATAAGTGTTATGTTTTATAATAATCATCATGATAGTGGGAGCATAAATGTTATGATTGTATGATTATTAAGGCACGTATTGCATAGTTGGCAATATTAATTATAGAAAACAAGAGTCATACTTTGCAAAGTTGTAAGAGTTGAAAGGTTGTTTTGCTATAATTAAGGGAGAGAATATTATGCTTCATTTCAAATCTAAAGGATTAGGTTGTGGAATGTTAATAAATTTAGTCAAAGGTACATAGTGTGTTCTTAAAATTTCGATTGTGATTACGGCATTCCTCTTCGCAATTCGAGTTTTGAGAACATAGCAAATAAAACATTATGCGTCGTGTCCCATACGCTTCGGGTATAGGATCGATTGCGAATGCTTTAATGTTTGACCATTCTAAAATTTTCCAAATGTATAGTGCATTTAGAGGGAAAAGGGACTAGAATTGGTTTTGACTAAAATAATTAAACAACTATCAAAGGACAATCCAAAGTTCGACGAGGATTGGTCGCTTGCGAGTAGTTGGAAGTATAGTATTGGAAATTATGGAAGTGTTTCCATATTGGATGGACGATATCGACATCATTACGAATAGATAAGATTCTATTAAGAATGAGTTGTCATATAGAAAATATGGAAGTGTGTCCATGTTGGGAAGTAAAATCTATGTCTAGATTAGAAACTTTATGCGAAAGGATGTTCAAAGGAATGTACTTTGAGTGAGAGACATCATATCTAAGGAATTGTCTTGTAACAATCTCCGATAGAGGAATTTGTAATATCATTGGCAATAGTCTTTGAGACTTTGGTGCAGTGACATTACAAAAGGATCGTTGCATAAAGTGTTAGAATCTAGTATATTCTATAAGTAACAAGAATTTGACATTCTTACACTTAAGAAAATGGATTTGGTGTTGTAAAATGAGAATGATTGGAAATGTGTTCAATTTGTCTATTTCGCAAAAGTAAGAACCATAGGTAAACATTGTGTGCATGCTAGGAGCATGGGACAAGTGTTGGAATTCAAATGCGAAGTTGATTACCCGAAACGACAAATAATGAGTAATCGATATGGTGATAAATAAAACGTGTTTTGTTTATACTCAAAGGTTTGAGGCCATATGGGATTAGTATTATTCTTGTGTTTCACCTTGCATGTTTTGACTTCCAGAATAATTGAGTTTATTAAGAATAATCGAATTATTCAAACGGGCCACAGTCGTTCATATGTTGGAAGTAGATATGAATGAAGACTGTCGTGAATTGGTGTGTGGATTGTCTAGAAGAGTATTAGACATAAGCAAATGTTTGCTGCAACGTTCATGAGTGCTTATGAATATGATTTGAGCATTGGATTAAACCCACGCTCACTTGGATCACTCCATGAATTGTATTACGAGTGATTGGTGAGACGATAACATCTTATATTCTTGAAACCGAGATGTGTGAGTTGTATCTTGCGAATCGGTTGCACATTGATAATATGTAAACGCACCAGTAACTTGGTGTTATAAAACATATTGTTGTGTGTAATTCGGTGAGTGAGTGCAAGCAAGCATTGTATCAAAGTTTATCCGTTCCTTTTATCCAAAGTAGGATAAAAGCGATATCTTTGGGCCCCTCGATGGTTTAGTGATGACATACGTAAATGCTCGGCCGGGCTAGGGCTAATTTGATTTGTTCAATTAGTCTGTCGTCATAAATCGGAAATCGAGAAGTAGTACAAAGAGAATGATTTGAAATCATATCTCATACGATATCTAGAATGGAGGAATATATGATCCCTTATCTAAGGACACGCGTATCTGATATGATCAGAGTTGACAGCGGCTTTGGAAAGCTACGATTGCAGATCAGGATCTGAAGTCATACGCAGAATAGTTGTTAGACTTATCCAAGTGGGAGACTGTTGGATTAGTGTCTAAGTCCATAACTATTTTGGTATGTACTTGACCCGATGGTGCATGGTCCTTTTGGGTTGCCTTCACCAAAGCAACTTGATTGGAGAAATGAATAAAGAGAGAGAGGATAATATGATTTATTAATATGTTATAAGAATAATATATTAAAGGAGAAATCATATTTGTTTAATTAATATTGGTCAATAATTAATTAAGAATTAGTTTTGTGATCAAATGTAATTAATTAAACTAGAGGGGCTGAATTGTAATTATGTGATAGTTACAAAATAAGGTAAGGATTATCTTATATATATGGTGAACGAATTTGAGGTGTAAATCCCTTAGAATTCGAGTATGATAAGGATTCAAGGATTATCTTATTGGTTGCTTAATGGATAATCAACTAGATAAGGATAATGACTGAAACCCTATCTCTACACCTATATAAACACCCCTAGGGCCATGAATTCGTGTATCCCTTCCCAAGAGGTCCTAGATACGAATTCTAACCTCTCACCTCTCTCTTTATACCTTCTCCACTTGCTTATGGTGTTTGTGAGCCATTAGAGGAGTGACACTTGTGACTCTAAGCCTTCCAAAGTCAATACAAGGAGATTTGGGATTGTTATTGCTACATAACAATCAAGGTAACACTATAAACTTATTCTCATGTTAATATGATTATATGTATGCTAGAATTAGGGTTTATAGTCTTGGATTCAAAGCATGTACAATAGAGAAACCTAGATCCAAGCATTAGGGTTTGTATGAGCACATAGGATGTCTTATGATTATTTTTCTTTTTCTTTTTCTTTTTTCTTTTTATTAAGATTCTCTTGTTTCACTATCTATATATATGAATGCTTGTTTCATTATCTCTCTATATATGTTTGTTTCATTTTCTCTCTATCGTTTCTCTCTCTTTCAAAATGAATCCAAACGTTCGCAAAATAGTAATGGATGGTAACAATGATAGTTAATCTTCTGAGGATGAACTTATCAACAATAATTGGTACCTGCATTATCTCGTACTGCATAACTTCTTCTCCAGAATAATGTTAGCTCAAGTAACAATCAAAGGAGAAACACAATCCAAAGAGAACATTTAGAGGCTGAACAGCTACTGATCCGACATTACTTTACGGATGATTCAACATATGGTCATGAATTATTCCGCAGAAGGTTCCGTATGAGCAAAGGTTTGTTTATGCAACTTGTTGGTGACCTAGAGATGAATTATCCACATTTTCAAACAACATGAGATGCAACAAACTGTATTTTGATAATGATAGTTACGCTTCGGAAAATTACACACTTTTACAATAAATGAACATTCAAAACAGCTATGCCTTGGTAGAAGGCTACTTTTAGTAGGAAATATAGGATTTTCTAGGATGTTCAAACTTTTACAAACACTTACAAACATTCATATACTTTTATTACAATTGTTTACAAACTCGTACTTCAAAATCGCGTTCAAACATTTTGATACAAACACCGATACTAAAATACTTATGAACTCACCAGCTTTAATGCTGATAAACTCTTTCAAAATAACTTGTATTCTTAGGTCATCAGTAGACAGGTACCGAGGCCATCTTTTGAGAAGATGGAGCACATTCAAGACTCATCTTATTATTTTGATTTACATTTTTGGTATCTATAACTGTACAGAACACGCTTGTATTAAAACTATATATTTAATGCAATGGATGATGTTGTTTGCTTGTTTATTGTTATACTATTTTGTGATACTTTACATGACGTCCTCCCCCCCAGAACGCTTCCGCCGTTCTCGGTTTTGGGGTGTGACATTTAAGTTGTGTATACTCCGGACAACTTGACCGATTGAGTGATTCAATTTATTTAAAAATTGATTGTTTGAACGAGGTGAGCTAATCCAACTATGTAAATCTAATAGACCGGTTCAATAGGTTTTTTGCCCTTTTATCATTATCACTTCAACCCGGTTTTTGAAAAAACCATCCGTCTAGCCTTAAAATTAGCATAAATCGGTCCTTATTAGGGATGAACAAAGGAACCGACCCGGCTGGTACTGGCCCGAATCGGACTCGGCCCGGGAACCAAAGTTGGCCGAAATTAAGAATCGAACCGGACTGCCGGTTTTACCGGTTCCCGGTTCTTGTTGTGTCTTCAATGTTGGAACCGGTCCTCGAGAAATAGTAACATACGGTCCGGTTTTTGCCGGTTCCTATCGGTTCCCGTTTCCAAAAATCTACAAGAATATCGTCCCGGTCCCGGCCGATCGTTCTATCCGGTTCTGGTTTCGGTCAATTTCCCAGTCAAAATGCTCATCCCTAATCCTTATTAAACCTCTCTCATATTCGATTTCCTGTTCAATCGGTTTGAACCGATTTTTAAAACATTACATTTAATCTAGTTTTACAAATCTTGGTGAACTTTGTTATTTGGTTAAACGCGTTTATTGTTCATTGGGTTGCTCATTTTTATCGACATCTTTATAGTAAGTTTTATAAATGGGACAATACGTTATTTATGCGTGTATACTAAATATAATGAGTAAATATTATTTTATTTATAAGTATAACATTAGCTATTTCGTGTTTATAGAGGCAAATGAAAGGAAGGGGTACAATCGTCTGATAACATAATTCAACTATGGCAGCAATAAATTTGAACCTAGAGTTACCATTTTTCAATTCGGAAGGTTGTCAAAGACTCGGCGCCCTATAATTGAGGAACCCAAGAATATCCCTTGCTGATTTCGTTGGTCTCTGAAGAATTCCGACACCGGCATCAACTTCGTGGGTTCCTTTTCCTCTGAAGTTTTTGCCGCCGGAGTCCATCGTCTCTCAGGTAACTAATCATGTCATTCAATTTCTGGCTGTTTTTATTGTTTGGTATGCCATCGTTGATACGATTGCAACCGATAGATAGTATTTTTAACCCGTTTAGGGTTTCTTGGGTTATGCATCTGTGTTATTGAATATTTCAATCCGAAATTCAAACGAAACGCTGGATTGAAAACCTACATTGCAGAAAAAACCGTTCCGTTTCACGTAAGTCGACCGATGAAGGCGAGATTAAGCATCTCGGTGTTGTACAGTACAACACGGTTAAAGCGCAATTTGATGAGTCACGTTCGTCACGCCTGTTTACAGCTATTGCCTTCCTTCTAATTTTCCCCTACCTCGCTCCTACCTTTTGGATTGGTGCAGTTGTGTTCAAAGTTTGCGTCACTCGTCAAACATCAATATTTGAATTTCGAATATTCCTTTTAGCATCAAAATTAGGGAAAACGTGCACCCTTTTGTCGCATATTTATTTCTAACAATTTTTTTTGCAAAGATGTATCGATTATCTTTCTTAATCGATACTATTGATTCAAGAAAATTCATCAAACCAAAGACAATAGCTACTGTATAATATTCTATTTTAAAGATTCTTTTTGAGAGGAGCATGGTTTTGTGCGTATTATTGGTGGATATGGGCGGTGGGCCAATCAATAAATTGTGTACAATTCCACTTTCACCCTCATGTTGGAGATAATTGCAAGTATCACAAAAAGTGTTACAAAGTGGACAAATCCCCAACTTTTGGTGGTGTTTAAGTAGACATCTTCATTGGCCCATACCATCTCTCTTTTTTATGCCCGGTATCTTCTTCTGGGATTCTTTTATGCTGCTCGAGGTTGACAATAATCGTGGCTCAAATATGTTCATTAGGTTCCGAATCAAGCATATACTGATATACTTAATACTTATGCCCCAATTTGTATAAATAATCTAGCCTCATTAGATTCTTTTCCCACATAAATTCGCGTTTCTGGGAACAAACGATGCGTAAATCTAATGCTTTCAAGAACATTTTCTGTAGATAGGAAGAAGCTTCGCTTGGCTGACTCTGACTGTGTATATATAAAAAGGCTTCGCGTGGGCTGTCAATAGGCACGTTTATTGGCAGCCCAAAGAACGACTTCAACCAAGACCCACTACAGGTAAGAAGCTACTTTTCTTCATCAAAAAACACGTTCTTTTTGACTTTCTTTGCGCGTTGTTCATATTTATTAATTCCAACGAACTCTGGTTTGTTTTTGTCGTATTTATATATATTCATAATTGCTTATTATATGATCAGAGATTCTGCATCGGTGACTCCAAGATTATGGGTTCGTTGTCTGGTTTATTTCAAAGGCCGGTTGTTGCAGCCTCTGCTGTTGCATTAGCTTCTGTTTCTACTGATCTTCGTGACAGATTCTTTCCATCCAAACCGGATTCATGTTCTTCATCAGAACAATCAATTGGCTGTTCATCGGATTTAATCAGTGAAGCAAAATGGGCACAAATCTCTGGTTCTAGTGTTTCAAAGCTATCTTTTTCAACAAAGAGTCGGATACCTGTTCCTAATTTCAGATACCCAACAATTCATATACCCAACAAGATGGCTTCTGATGTTGCGTTTTCTTCTGCTTTACTCAACGTGTATAGGTCAGCTGAGTTGGCAAAAGCTCACAGGCCAATCGATCATGCTTCTAGTATCCCAACAACCATGTCTAATGATCTCATTTACAGATGGCATTTACCACAGCCTAATGCCATTGGTTTATCAGAAAACTCTAAAATGGTGGTGGTTTTGCTTGGGTGGCTGGGTGCTAAACAGAAACATCTCAAGAAATATGCAGATTGGTATACCTCAAAAGGGTTCCATGTCATCACCTTTACATTTCCCATGTCTGAGATTTTAAGTTATAAAGTTGGAGGGAAAACGGAAGAGCATGTGAATTCGCTTGTGAATCATCTTTCTGAATGGTTGGAAGAAGAATACGGAAAGAATTTGGTCTTTCACACATTCAGCAACACCGGATGGCTAATGTAAGCAAAAGCAAACCCTTTTCATCTCATATTATTATTTAAAAAAAAAATCAAATCTTTATAACATCTGTGGTTGTTTTTATATCACAGATATGGAGCTATCTTGGAAAAGTTTCAGATGCAAGACGTTACACTAATGGGGCGGATTAAGGGATGTATAGTGGATTCTGCACCTGTTGCATCCCCGGACCCACAGGTAGTTATTGTTTGGTTACGTAAGATTTCTTTTATTTATTTATTTATTAAGTAATTGTTTAATTTGTTTCAGGTTTGGGCTTCGGGTTTCTCTGCTGCTTTTCTGAAGAAAAACAGTATTGCAGCAAAAGGACATAGAAATGAAGGTGACATCTCTGCCAAACCAGCAATGAGTGAATCGGCTCTGTTGGTGGTTCTTGAGAAGTTCTTTGGCGTGGTTTTAAATCTTCCATCAGTTAACCAGTAAGTTTTTTTTTTTTTTTAATCATTTTGTATGGTGGAATCAGGGAAGGAATTGTGTTTATTCAGTTCACTTGTTTTCACATTTCAGGAGGCTTTCGAATGTATTAGTACAGCTGAAATCCGGGCAGCCAAGCTGCCCGCAGTTGTACATCTACAGCAGTGCGGACAAAGTGATTCCTGCAGGGTCAGTGGAGTCTTTTATAGAGGCACAGCAAAGAACAGGGCGTGTGGTCAGGTCATGCAACTTTAAGTCAACACCACATGTTGACCATTTTAGGAATGAACCCGAGTTGTATGCTTCTCAGCTCTCACAGTTTCTCAAAGACTGTGTGCGTACTTCTTAAAAAGTTGATGATGGGGTTTGACACTGACCTTCACCCTGACTTTGATTCTTTTTCCTATTCTTTGACATGATGATCTATATGATTTAATTTTTAAAGTGGAATATATACACGAGGGACAATAAGTGTTGGGTTTTTAATGCTTACCCTTTAACCTGATCCTCTTACTGTAATCCGATTGTTACTGAATATAGAGATGAAATTACAATGCTACTTAAACGACTCTGATAATGGTATCTGTTAAAGTGGTGGATGGATACAAAACCAGTCCCATGTTGTCTCCAAGCGGGAGTACCACTACTAGTTTCAAACTTGCACCCATAGACCATTTAATGGTACAATATTTTAATGAATAATCTGATATTAACTCGAGCTTTGTAAAAACAAACGGTTTGGTTTGTTGTAGGATTTGGATTTATTGTTTTCTTAGTTGAATTTGGGATTATAATCTTTAAATCACATATAATTATCAACAATAAATCCTTAATAGATGAAAATACGATCACGTAAGCAGTTCTCCATTGGGACACACCTCATGCCCATAGGTTATTGACATGTAAAATTACTTAAAACAATGAAAACTTACAATTTTCATTGACCTCAATATGCTTCATGAAAAACAGATCATCATTTCACGATTGTTGACTTGAAATTGATTGAAAAATCATCAAATATAGCTATTACACCTATTGTGAATAATCATGAATCTTACACAATATTTAATAGTGAATAGCCGAATGATTTCATTATAAAGAATATTGAGCAAATGAAAGCGTTGAGCATATATCTAAATTATATTATATGCTCTAATCATAGAAACACATGAAAATGATATACGTTGATAATTGAACATAATGTTCATTTCTTAGCATGAAAATGACTCGTTAATAATTGAACATAACGTTCATTTCTATGAAAATGACTCACATTCATAAATAAACATAAATCATTTTCATATAATTTATAATTGTTATGTATAATTTAATTGTGTTGAATCTTATACATTTTGCATATTACAATATAATTTCTCCAAGCATGAGAGCTCTTAAAAATTTCTATATGTAGAATGCTCTCAAATTATAAAAATGTTTTAGATGATTGACTTTTATTTATAGTGACAAATCGTTTAACATAATTATTATTTTTAAAATCCTCAATTAATCCACCACTTATAATGAAAATCAATACTTCGGTCTAAAATTTTTAAAACATAACAAAAACTAATATCATTTGATGATATGATTGTTGCTTCCATATCATTTTCAGATGAATATGATTTTTGGTTCCATTTCCTATCATTTGGTACTTTAACTACTTTTCTTCTGATTCCGATCATGTCGGGTTTCGACCCGAAGACCACCCGTTGCTCAATCATTATCGGAGTTAGCTCTGCACGATCCATATCTCTAACTCCTTTTGGTCCCCGTTGAAAATCCATAACTCACCAGATGACAGAAGGAGTTCAGAACACTTGAATTAGGGTTTCTGATTTCCCACGATTCATCAATCAATCATATACCCAATGGGAGAAATCGGCGAAAAAGGCATAGCAGGGGAAGGAGAAGAGACGTGCATTAACGAGCGATTAAGGGACGACGAACTCCGAGCAGTTTTGGTTAAACTAGAAACCGACAAAGATAAAGAAGTTTTCGGTCTTGTATGCAAGAAATGGCTCTATCTTCAGAGCACAGAGAGGAAGAAGCTCTGTGCTCGTGCTGGTCCACACATGCTTCGTAAGATGGCTGCACGCTTCACTCGCCTCAAGGATCTCGATCTCTCTCAATCCGCATCACGTTCGTTTTATCCCGGAGTCACTGATTCAGATCTATCCGTCATCGCCACTGGTTTCACCGCCTTACGTCTACTCAAGCTTCAAAATTGCAAAGGTCTTATTTGATTCTTTATGGTTTTCGTTCTCACCTCCAATTGATGTTCTGTGATATATTGGAAGTGATATACTTGTTCTGAATTAACGGACCAGACTTGTAGAAAAGTCATGGCTTTGGTTTGCAGGGATGTTCTGACTTCTGAACTTCGGTTGAATGTTTATAATCCTTTCTGTTTGTGAGAAACCTTTTGCTTTTTTTTTCTTGTCTCATATTGTGTAGTGTCTAAACGGTTGTAATTGCAAGAACTCCCAATCCCCAATCCCCCATCTAAATTCCGTTTCACCTCTTGTTGGAATCCTTATATTCTTTTATGCAAATGTGGTTTTGCAGGTATCACTGATGCTGGAATGGTGGCAATTGGATCCGGTCTTTCATCTCTACAATCATTAGATGTTTCATACTGTAGAAAGCTAACTGATAAAGGATTATCAGCTGTCACCGATGGCTGCCATGACCTAAAAAGCTTACACCTTGCTGGTTGTCGCTTTGTCACTGATACCCTACTAAAATCCCTCTCTAAAAACTGTCATAATTTGGAAGAATTAGGCCTACAAGGTTGCACCAACATAACAGACACCGGACTCACTGCTTTAGTAGACGGATGTAAACACATAACGCATTTGGATGTAAATAAATGTACAAACGTGGGAGATCTTGGAATATCAGTTATAGCAGAAGCCTGTTCAATTTCCTTAAAGACATTAAAGTTACTAGACTGCTACAAACTCGGGGACAAATCTATATTTGCATTAGCTAATCATTGCAAGAATCTTGAAACCCTCATAATTGGAGGATGTCGGGACATATCGAGTGATTCAATAAAATCACTAGTTGCCACTTCTCAAACCCTCAAGATCTTGCGTATGGATTGGTGTTTAAATGTTTCAGACGCTTCATTGAATTGCATACTTTCACAATGCAGTTGTTTGGAGGTGTTAGACATTGGGTGCTGTGAAGAGGTGACGGATGCTGCTTTTGATGGACTCCGGAATCCGGAATTCCATTCCGGTTTGAAGGTTTTGAAAGTTAGTAATTGTCCGAAGATTACAGTGTTGGGAATAAGTATGGTTTTGGAGGCGTGTAGGTCTTTGGAGTATCTTGATGTGAGGTCTTGTCCAAATGTGACGAAAGCTGGTTGTGAAGAAGCAGGATTGAGGTTTCCGGAAGGTTGTAAGGTGAATTATACGGGGAGTTTAGTGGAGCCTGATGTCTTAAATTGAAAATGTTTATTTATGGAAATGGAATAGCTTGAAATGGGCTAACTATTTTTATTGTGTGCATATATGTTCAATGTTTTATTGGATATGTTTGTGGTTGAGTAGTGTTTTGTTAATTGTTTCAGATTCAAATTCAAGATCAAACTCAGACCAGGTGTGTTATCTCGTAGTTTTTGTTTGTTTAAGGCTACTTGTGTGGTCTTTATGAAATATTGTCAACTACAGTTGTAATATAATATCTAATATCTTTCTGTTTTCACTTTTCTGACTTTGTAACACATAAATTTTGGGTAGACTTAACTATAACGTTTATAAACAACTCAAATAATGACCCTAAGACAAACATTTCATCATGTTGCTTAATTGAACAAAACAGCTTTAAACACCTGTATTAAGAATTGGCTGATTGTTTTTGTGGGATTTGGAATTGTCTGGAAGAGGAAGGATATTAAGTATGCAGTATGTTTTGTTGACAGGATTTGACATGTAATTGAAATCTTCTAAAAAAATGTATATTTATAAAGGTTTTGACATTTGATTAATTAAAGCGAAGATTGAATTGGGGGCAAAAAGTAAAAATTTGTCACAGCAACCTAATGTGACCTGTTCTGCTGACATGGAATTTTTAATTTCTATTTAGTAATGTAATAACAACATTAACAATCATATCAAAATGGTGTAAAAACATAGGATGATGACATTTTTAGCTTTTAATAAGCAAGTTTGGTTTTAAGGAATTCCATCAATTTCAACAAAGTTAATTTTATCAAATTTTACAATTACTCAATAAATTTTACCCAATTTCTCTTAAATTTCACAAATTATTAAAATTGGCTAAAGAAAAACTCAGATTTCATTTTCTCATCTTCCACAAAGCTTAACCTTTAAGAGAGAGAGAGAGGGAGAGTATATATGTGTATTGTATTTTTTATGAATGTTACATGTTCTTTCTAGTCATGACATGTCAACAAATAAAAACAAGATCATAAAAGTCTTATCACCAATTGCTTTACACCTCAATATGATTAAGTTTAAGCCAAACAAAGATCATCTCTCACCACCCAAATCACTTTCCTTATTTTGCTCATCACAAAACTTTGTTGCTTTATCGTCAACCGATAAAAAACATGTAAAAAAACTGTCAGCATGACAGAAAAAGGTAGCTATACACAGTCAAAAGCAGCCACAAATATCAAAAAAGCAAAGTAGTGCATTCGAAAAGGCTTAACTACCAACCACCAGTAACCATGAGACATGGATGACTCATCAAAATAAAAAGTTGTCAGTTTTATTCAATCTCTAAATGCCTATAAATGTCTTCTTTCAAAACACATAAAATAACCCACCAAAATCAGCATTTAGCTTCAGAAATAGCAAAGGCAAATCACAGCAAACAAACGTCAAGATATGGATCAAAGATTCTCAAAATATGAAACTGGAGTTGCGATCAAATCAACAAGGGGACTACTATTGTCTAAACCTTATGAGCCCCATTACCCTCTTTCTACCACTTCTTCCAAGATTAATGGCATTAAAAGAGAAGGTAGTTTTGCAATCTATTAAAAATCACTACAGAATGTTCTACTTCTTTCAAATCAATTCTATCGAGCTTATACTGTTTATATTTCGCAGCAAGTTCAGGGCCAAAATTAATCGAAATCATGAAAGAGATGTTGAGTCATGGTGCAAAAATGATTCAAGTTGGAAGCCAAAGAAAAATCTTCAGGAAAACCTTCAGTATCAGAGAGGGAGAGAAGCTGTTAAAGGCTTCTGAATGCAACTTATACACTACAGCAGGTGCAATTGCAGGAATCCTTTTTGTGTCTACAGAAAGGGTTGCGTTTTGCAGTTATAGATCCATTGAAACATATTCTACCACAGGCAAGCTGCTAAAGTTTCAATATAAGGTGTCAATCCCTTTAGGAAAGATAAAAGGAGTAAGAGAAAGCATGAACATGAAGAGGCCATCAAACAACTATGTGGAGCTAGTGACGATTGATGATTTCAACTTTTGGTTTCTGGGTTTTGTAAATTATAAGAAAACCTTAAGATACGTTCATCATGCAATCGGACTCCATGCTTAAGCAAATGATGTTTGTAATTAATCCTTGATTTGATGTAAATTTCAAATGTAAAGTCTTACAGAGTTACAGTTATGCCCACATTTTGGCGGTATAACTACTTTAACTCTAATGAGAAAAAGATGTATGTTGATATCCTATCTCCGTGCCTTAATTTTTGTATATATATTAAAAGCTTTGGACCATAAGAATTAATTTTGAAATTATTTTTTTATGTGAAAAATTACATAGAGTATAATATGGTTTCTCCAAATTCTTATGTCATTTACCTTGAACTAGCAGTTATATAATATTAAGAAAGCTGAATTTCCACCAATGACCAATTTACACCTCAATTCCCTTAAAGAAAATAAAATCCAACATCGCAGTTTATATTTCCTCTTGCTTAGCATGCTATTGCTAATGTAAGTTGCAGGTGACATGTTGTCATTGTGATTATAATATGCCTATTCCAATTTCAAAAAAAAAAAAAATTTATATTACTTTCTTATATTTTTTTGAATCACAAGCCACGTATAATTTCATATATATGTTTGTGTGTGCAATACACAAACAAAATTATAAGATGATCAGTGTGTTCTTGTCTTTTTATAAGCAAGTAAAACAACGAAATTGAATTTCATCCCCTACTTCAAATTAGAAAGATAAATATTTTGATCATTTGATGGAGTCCTTCGGTCTTAATAATTTTCAGTTCCCTCTAATTTTCTAACCAAACAAGTAATGATTTGCAATCTTTAATTTCATTTCCACATAATTTCTTTAATTTCCGCAAACCAAACATAATGATCCGAATGCCCGATCATGCTACAACCTATAATATATATAAAGTTTGGTTAATTAAAGCTCACTATATTAGTTACTTTTACTTCATTTTTTCATCTTCGACAAAAATTAACCTTCAAGAGAGAGGATATATGTGTATTATGCATATCACGTGTTCTGTCTAGTCAGTACATGACAACGTGGAGACAAGATCCTGAAAGTCTCATGACACAACTTCTTTACACCTCAATCTGGTTAAGCAAAATAAAAGATCACCTCCCCACCACTTCCATATCACTTTCCTTAGCATGGTCTTATAAACTGCATTTTCGGATATAATCGTACGACCAGATAAATAACTTTGAAAGAAACCGTCAGCATGACAGCAAAAGGTGGAGATACACGGTTAAAAGCAGGCCATCAAGAAGATAAAGTAGTGCTCCAAAAAAGACTCAACTACCAACCACCTGCACAGTGAGGATGAGATATGAATGACTCATCTAACTAAAAGTTGTTCAAAGTTATTCGATCTAGCTTTGTATGCCTATATATATATATATATATATATATATATATATATATAATGTGATCAGTACTCAAAACACATTACCCACCAACTTTCAAGACACCCGAATCAGCAAAGGCAAATCATACTTTCAAGGAACCCGAATCACATCAACATACGTCAAAATGGATCATAGATTGTCAAAACATGATAACGGAGTTGCGATTAAATCAGGTAGGGGACTGCTATTATCTAAACCTTACGAAAGAGAAGGAAGTTTTGCAGTCGGCATTAAAAATCATGGTAATTAACTATCTAGCACTATATATAATTACTTTAACTACAAAATGGTATACTTCTTTCTTTCAATCGATCTTAATCTGATTATATCTTTGTAATATGCAGCGAGTTCTGGGCCCAAATTAATTGAAATAATGAAACAGAAGTTGAGTCATGGTGTCAAAATGATTCAACTCGGCAGTCAAGGTAAAATCTTTAGGAAAACCTTTGGCACCAGAGAGGAAGAGAAACTGTTACAGGCTTCCCAATGCTACTTGTACACTACAGCAGGTGCAATTGCAGGCATCCTCTTTGTGTCTACAGAAAGGATTGCATTTTGTAGTGATAGGTCCCTTAAAACTTATTCTCCCACAGGCGAGCTGCTAAAGTTCCAATATAAGGTGTCAATCCCGTTAGGAAAGATAAAAGGAGTAAGAGAAAGCGTGAACATGAAGAGGCTATCATATAACTACGTGGAGGTCGTGACTGTTGACGATTTCAGCTTTTGGTTTCTGGGCTTTGTGAATTATAAGAAAACATTAAGATACGTCCGTCATGCAATCGGCTTGAGTGCTTAAGCAATGGATGTTTTTAAGTAAAATGATGTAAATTTCAAATGTAAAGTCTTAGAGTTATATATGTAATATGTCCACATTTTGGTGGTACAACTACTTTCTCTCATGAAAATAAAAAGATGAATGTTAGTATATGGTAATCTCCATGCATGTCTCGTTTTTTTGTGAGTTTTTGAGCCATATACATGTTAAAATTTGAAGCTATTTGTTCTATTTAATAGAGTATATGTGCTCTCAACAATTTAAACAAATTGGAGAATTTGCTTAAGTGATCCCTATCTATCCATTGAAAGTATACTTAAAAATGTGTGCATATATGGTATGGCATTCAATGTCACATGAAAAAACAATTTGGAAGTCTTTAAAACATAAGAGTTCAATAATAGAGTTAAATGAGGTGGTAATCATAGTTGTCATTCTCTATCATTTTGGAATGCCACTTTGGCATTCAATGAACTTGAAAAAAGAAAGTAAGTTTTCTAATTCTTAATAACTATTTAAATACATTCCATTAACTGACATTTATTGAGTTCAATGTATTATAGAAAAAAAAAATTAATAGAATTGTATGAAATATAGAATAAAAACATGACAATATATTAAAATCTATAAAGTTCAATGCATTATATATAATGCCGTGAAAATCATGTTAATTGTCTTGTGTTGATATATACCGTTTGAGATAAAATAAAAGTTTCCCATAAAAATTAGTATATTCTACTTCATGATTTCTAGAACAAAATCCTACTTTTTGGACCATAATTAGAATTTTGATGACATGGCATGCATCTCATTTGAGGTGCATACTACAAACGGAGAAGATATCCAAAAAGTCTTACGTCAATAACCATGAGCTTGCAGTCATATCACATATGATATCTAAATGCCCACCACTTTACACCTCAATTTCAATGAATAAAGTAAAACCCATATCGACATTCACATACATTTCGGCTTGGTTCGCATGGTAATGTAAGGTGCATGTGACCTGTTGCAATCTCGATTACATGGTTTTTTCAAATTCTGCACGTCACCAACGAATAGATATCAGATATTTATGACAGGAATAGTCATAGATATATCGATGTGAGTATGGACACCACCACCACTGTGAGTTTCCGGTTTTAAATGGGCTTTATTTGACAATTGACGGATTTGGAGCTGAGGTGTGGGCAAGTATGGAGAAATTAATGAACTGAATTCCCAGATCTGATTATGCAGTGGGTTCACAGGAGTTACAGGTTTGATGCGATATATGGGTTTTGGCCCCACTGGGGGGTTGCCGGTGATGGGTTAGGGTCATGGTGGGCCCCACATCTTATGTCAAATACTCAAATTGAAGCACACATTATATGCAAGTAAAACTATGAAACTGGATTTCATGCACCACGTCAAAAGAAAAAGAAAGATCAATATCTTCATTTGATGAAGTATTATGATTTCAACTAACTTCACCCTCATCAGTTTTGTAAAAAAAACAAGCCATGCAATAAAATCTTCAATTTTAATCTCGCATAAATTGGTTGGATTCTTGAACGAACATAAAGATAAATATCGTAACACTGGTATGTAGTATTAAAACGGGTTAAAGAAAAGCTAACTATTAATACCTTTAGTAGTGTATTTTCATATATGTCTCCATAAGATATATATGTAGTATTTAAATTGTTATGCATACCAGATGTTGTTTGACTGCTTGTAGTTATGACATGGCAATGGAGAGAACAAGATCTAGATCTCCTGACCCGCGTACTCCTTTACACCTCAGTCTGATTAAGCACTCATCTACATTACTTTCCTTAGCCTGGTCTTTTAATTTGCATTTCGAGTATAATCTCCCTTTACTCGTCATCAATCATCATCACTAAACCTTTGTGTTTTCCCAACCGATAAATAACTTTAAAAAAACCGTCAGCATGACAGCAAAAGGTAGACATACACAGTTAAAAGCAGGCCATGATAAAGAAGCTGGTAAAGTAGTGCTGAAGAAAAAGACCCAACTACCAACCACCGGTAAAGATAAGATATGGATGACTCATCCAAATAAAAGTTGTCGTCTTTATATGCCAATAAATTTCTTCTTTCAAAACACGTTACCCATCAACTTCGGCATTGAGCATCAGAAATTGTAACCATCAATACCTTCGAGTTAACCAAATCACAACAAATTTACATCGAAATATGGATCACAGATTCTCAAAACATGACACTGGAGTTGAGATCAAATCAACTAAGGGATTACTATTATCTAAACCTTATGAACCCTGTCACTCAATTTCTTCCGCTTCTTCCAAGATCAACGGCATTGAAAGAGAAGGTACGTAGTTTTGCACTCTGGATTAAAAATAACTGTACTTATCTTCTTTTAGTCGGTCTTATAATACTGTTCATCTTTTGTTAATATGCAGCAAGTTCAAGTCGCAAGTTAATTGAAATCATGAAACAGAAGTTGAGTCATGGTGCCCAAATGATTCAACTAGGCAGCACTCCAGGTAAAATCTTTAGGAAAACCTTCGGTATCAGAGAGGAAGAGAAGCTGTTACAGGCTTCCCAATGCTTCTTGTACACTACAGCAGGTGCAATTGCAGGCATACTTTATGTGTCTACAGAAAGGGTTTCATTTTGCAGTGATAGGTCCCTTAAAACTTATTCTCCCACAGGCGAGCTGTTAAAGTTCCAATATAAGGTGTCAATCCCGTTAGGAAAGATAAAAGGAGTAAGAGAAAGCATGAACATGAAGAAGCTGTCATATAACTATGTGGAGGTAGTGACTGTTGATGATTTCAGCTTTTGGTTTCTGGGCTTTGAAAATTATAAGAAAACATTAAGATACCTCCATCATGCAATCGGCCTTGAATGCTTAAGCAATTGATTCATGTTGAGAATTTATCTTTAACTTGATGTAAATTTCATATGTACATTCTTATAAACAGTTGAATGCTTAAGCAATTGATTCATGTTGAGAATTTATCTTTAATTTGATGTAAATTTCATATGTACATTCTTATAAACAGTTGAATGCTTAAGCAATTGATTCATGTTGAGAATTAATCTTTTAATTTGATGTAAATTTCATATGTACATTCTTATAAACAGTTATCCATATTTTGGTAGTACATGCTACTTTCTGTAATGAGAAAAAGCTATCTATGTTGATATACGATCTTCATGTCTCATTTAACTAATATTTTGTGACATCTTGGGGTGCTATAAGTTTAATCTTCAAGGTTTACTGGTCTATTGTATAGATTATATGTGCTCCCAACAATTTAAGCGATTGAACAAATTGAAGAAGTTGGTTAGTGATCATTATTTGTGGAAAGTATGCTTTAAAATGTGTATATCTTATGCAAGACTACATGTTTGGCAACGAAATGGCAATATGAAATTGATTTTGAGTAATTAACCTTACCATCAAGAATTCGAGATCTAAAAATATTAAAAAGTTATCAATGGGCTGATGATTCTTGTGAGTATATTGAACAAGAAGCATATGGAAAGAAGTGTTTTTGATCAAACTTTGGCAATTATTATGAAGTATGAGGCTATAGAGATGATTGGAGTGAAGCCAAAGTAGAATAAAGGTCTTACCATGGAGAATATGAGATTTACTGAAATCAATGTGTTTATCTTTGGTTTCATTCTATAGCTTGGAATTGGATTCCTTAAACTTTTAGATATTATTTGTATTGAGTTGTGTAGTGTGCATCATCATTTAGCCATATAGCCACCACACAGACCAAACATGGAGCCTAATTTACACTTTGACTTTATAGTTGATGGTTCCTATATCAGATTCGACAAAATATGTCGGAGACAAATTTGTCATAGTTTCTGGTAGACCTGATAAACGTGTCCTGTTAAGATATTAAACGGGTTGAAAGGGCTTCACTCTAACCGACCTGTTTAATTATCGTGTCGTGCTGTGTTAACTCGTTTATTTTCGTGTCAGTTTTGTGTCGGGTTTCGGGTTAAGGTTTAGACCTTGTAATTATGTTGTGTCATGTCGGGTTGAAAAATTTTAAAGGTTGGAAAGTAGGAGCTGTGAAGGCAAAAAGGAAAAATGAAACATTGGAGTTATGAGATGGAATGACAAAATTTATAATAAGTTTAGAAGGAAAAATATAGAGAATTAAAGTTGGGGAGCAAAAGGACAGGTGGTGAGGACGACTAAATTAAGTAACTTTGAAATTTTGAATATTACTTATAATTCTTGAGTTTGACCCACTATAAGTCTATAACGTATAATATATTTATGAAAATATGAAATTTATAATAAATAATATATAATTAAACGGGCCATATTTGAGTTGAAAATCTTGATCCTAACCCTACCCATTTAATTATTGTGTCATGTCGTATCAACCCATTTACATAAACGTGTTGAAATCTCTGACCCTAACCCGCTAATTTCATGTCGAGCTCGTGTCGGATTTTTGTGTCGTGCCATGTTTTGCCAGGCCTACTTTCTGGGCTTGGCCTTAATATTGGCAGATTTCAAGTGTTTTGCTGCTATAAATAAATCTCTTGAATTTGTGTAACATATGTAAGCAATTCAACAATATCAATAAAATCTTTCTCTTGTTCGTAAGTTTACGTAGCCTATCACTAACCACATAAATACTAGGGCTGACAAAATTGTACCATGGAAAACCAACCAACATGTTACCAACCGAATCAAGAAACTTGGTAGCTAACATGTTTGGTTGGTAGTACCGTACCAATTGATTAATGTTGTTACGGTAATGGTACAAAAATTGGAATAGCATGGTAATACCGTACCAACCAATTCATTTGATATATATATATATATATATATATATATATATATATATATAGGAATGAGTTCTATGGAAAACAAATAACTAGGGCAACATCTACCAGAACCAATAATCAAATGACACGTGTCCATTTCTTTCTTCACAAGTAATGTATTGTAAAAATTATTGTGGAAGTGATGTGTTGTCATGTTTTCATTGGTTTAAATATATGTTGCCCTAATCATTCATTTTCCATATAACTCTTCCCTATATATATATATATATATATATATATATATATATATATATATATATATATATATATATATTTCAATTGTTAATTGTATTTAGTCTTTACAGTTTTAATAATATTATATTAGTCATGTGGTTGTATTAGTCAATAGTTATTACCACGTTAAAGTACAATATTAAAACGTTACTTTAGCGTTACTTGAGTAGAATTCTTTTGTAAACTAAAAAAACTACGTAACTAATTTCTATACTACACATCAAAATCCCGATGTCTTTGCTTATTTTTAAATCTTATAATAGAAAATTAAAAGAAGTTGGTATATCATTATCAATTTGTACCAATCAAACTTGTTGGTAGCCAAATAAATTGGTACCAAGTTTACTTGGTACGATACTGATAGCAATTTTTTTATACCAGATAAATTGGTGCCGTACCAATTCCACCCCTAATAAATACTATGTTTTGCTCTTTTTTTTGCATTATTAATTGCTCTATGTATGAAGTGTTGGGAATATTAGGGTTTACGGTGGAGATCTGGATACCAACTTGGATCGTGATATCACTTTCCGAACTTACATTTCTACCCTATGCCTGAGTTACAAGAAATTCAGCTTAGGATAATCAAAGCAGACACTTACGTTTCTAGGCACAGAAAACATAAGCTAATATGCTAAAGGGTTCTGTGAATGTGTGATGAAAAATGAGAGCTAAAGAACGTCTCCCTTCTGGAAAGAATAAGTTGTTTATATACTAAACACGATTAGGGTTGGGCCGTCATTAGTTGCTTTGGAAGCAAGTAATATTAATCCGGATTAGGGTTACCAAAAACTAACGAGTTTTGTTAGTTTTACCATAATCACCCTCAAGAAATTGAGTCTTCCGTTATGTTTCCACATGAAAAATTCGGTGAGATTTTGGGGCGCTGCCCCAAACCCCGCGGGACCCTAGCCAGGGGCTCTGCCCCTTGGACCAGCTAGGGGAGCTGCCCCTAGACTCCGCCAAAGGGGCGCTGCCCCCGGACCCCCGACTAGTCGTCAAACCAGCTTCTGACTCGATCTTATACATGCGTGCACTTCGCACAACCCCGTACATGTATTAGAGTACAAATCATGAAGCCCTTTAACTTACATGTTAGTTCCAGTTACTTAAAATGACATGGTAACACTAAAATCACCAACATGAAGTCCTTTGTCGTTTCTCTAAGTGTTTAGAGCCTAATTAAGAATTTGTCATTTAAAAGTGCAATTATCTAGCTTGGTCTAGTTGTGTGTAGGTAGGGTTTTATTAGGCTTTTTCCTTCTTTCTTTGAATTGATTTTCTTTTCAATAAGTTTTGTGAGAGAGAAACCTCTTTATCCAAAAAAGAATCGGCAATATGAAAAACTGGAACAACGTGTTAAATCAATCTAATGAGATCAACAAGGGGACTACAAATGCCTAAACAGTAACAACCCTATTGGCCTACTTGTTCGGAATTCAATGGTACAGCAAGAAGAAACAATTTGGCAGCCTAAAAAAAATCATGCCAAGGCCTAATTGTCTTGGGCTGGTACCCTCGAGACAAAATAAACGCTTCCCATAAGAATTAGTTTTTCCCATAAGAAAAAATTGAATTGACTTTTTCCGAAATAAGAACTCAAGCATTTGAAGCTATTTCTTTATTCTAATTAGTCTACAAACACAGTAATACACTTATACTCTATTTGGCACAACATGTTCTATTATGGGACAAAATTTGCGTTAGATGATTGAATTAGCATTTGTATCATGCATGTCTTTTGTGTATTCATGACATATATGGCATGCATGGTGCATTTGGGTGCTTCAAACGAAGAAGATATCCACAATTAAAGTTTTACGTCAATAACCATTAACTCGCATTTATTTATATAGGATAACAAAGCTAAATATTCCCACTGAGTTACACCACAATTAGTCAATTAATTTCGTTGAATAAAATAAATTAAGCCCATGCATATCGACATCTACATTTCAGCTTGCTTAGCAAGGTCATGTAAGTTGCATGTGATGATCAGTTGTCATGTCGATTATATATTATATGCATTTCCTAAATTATGTGCGTCATGTGTGAGAATAGTCAAGTTGACAATAAAAAGTAAATGTGTATATTAACCTTATTGAAAGAAACCCAGAAAAAGCAAATACGTACCAACCTTCTCATGTGACCTGTTGCCATATGTCATGTCGATTATTTATTTATTTATGTATATTATGTTGGTTTCCACTTCCCACCCACCACTCTCCTTCCATTCCCCATATATATTTATGGGCCATGACATGGATATGGAGAAGATAACATCCTAAAATTAGTCTCATATCACCCACTCCTTTACACCTCATTCTGATTAAGCAAAATAAACACCAATAGACTTTTGTTCATAATCAAACCATACGTACGTAATAGAAACTAAAGAAACCCGACTTAGCATGGGGATGTCGACAACAAAAGGTAGCTATGCACAATAAGAGGGAACTAGTGGTCCAAAAAAGACTCAACGACCAATTAACTACCCGTAGGATGCACAGTGGCGGAGGAAATCAAGTGGAGTGCACAGTTGACCATTGATCATTGACCGTTAACCGTTGACTATTGCTTATTTATGAGTCTTAAGTTTGTCTGGCTTTTTGGTTTATTCCAACCAGTAAAGCCGTTGTCCCCTTGTTATTGTGTTAAACAATAAGATAAGCATTAAACAAGAATATAAAATCAGCATCAAAATGCCCCTTAAACTAAACAAAAAGAAAGCAGAAACACAAGATAATATAAAGCCTCTACATTAAACCCTATATCACAAAAAACACATAACAATAGAGTGGTTGGCTGATTACAAGTCAAATT